CATATTGTATCATAAAATAATTTATAAAAAAACAAATATATGTACAAAAGCTGTACGGTAACATTAAAGGTACAACTTTAACCCTTCCTCTGGCTCTTTAGTGAAAATCAGCAAGTCATCCATAAAGCATAAATGGATAAGACCAACCCAATGACATTGCGGATGGTAAGGGAGTACCTTTAAGCTGACAGCTTTATTGAACATAATGTTAAAATCCCCATGACAATAGCAAATAGGTAGGGGAAAGTGAACCCCTTTCCTAAGTCATTTTTTTGCTTTAAAATGTCCTACTAACCCGCATTGAAACTTTCAGAGAAGGCATTACTTTCCATCTATATTCTTATCCACCCAACAAATTTTAGGGAACCCCATAGCTTAAATCACAGCATATAAGAACCCCCAATTAACACTATTGAACGCTTTCATGATATGTACAACGCGGAGAAACATTCTTTTTATTATACTTCTTCACCATTTCATGATCTAGGATTGTATTATTACTAATCAGTCGCCCTCTTATAAAATCTAATTGGTTATTAGATGTGGCAAATGGATTCCATGGACTGATAGATCTACATATCAAATGGGTAGGTGGATTTATGGATTGAATCATATGGATTGATAGATTGATTTATGACTTCAAATGACATCCAAGTCTTGGACAAATATGTAATTTTTAAAAAGTTTAGGTGCTCAAATGTCGTAATGAAAAATTTTAGGCACCAAAACATGGCATTTTTCGCATAAAAATTTAGGTAACAAAATGTAGAATATAAAAAAGTATAGGTACTAAATTATAATTTATCAAAACATGGCATTTGCGAATGCTAAATCGTTGCATTATAATGAATCATCATAATATAAATGCATGTATTGATACAATGGATGCATTTTAACAATACATTGTTTGGTTATTGAGATCATACTTTATGCATTAATTTACATAAAGTTACTTTTATGGGGAAATGTCACATTTACCCTCAACTTTTAGAATAAGACAAAAACTATTATGGATATAAATGAAAAGAAAAAGTTGACACAAATCTAAAATCAACAATCACAACAATCTCAACAAAAGTTGAGATTGTATAATGCATCATTTTTTGTGATTGTTGGTGGGACCTACCTAAAACAATGCATGCATTGTTCTACATTTTGGCACTTCCAAACATTGTACTGTGCACAATACATGTATTCAACAAACACAACTCTAACAATCACAACTTCCAAACGACCCTTGAATTTCAATGGATTGAATTAATTGGATATTTAAGTGAATGAATTTGATTGGATTGGTGGATTGGATCACAAATTGCCACCTCTAATCACTAGCCTTAAACGTGAAAGTTCTAAATTTGAATTTTTAAGTAATACCTAATATCAAAAAATAACTTATATCACCCTTATATAAAAAAAAAACCCTAATTGTTTAGTACTAATCAGACCTGGCAGCACTTCTTAGATGAGACGAAATTGGTAAGTGATAGGTTGGTTAAGTAAAGTTATTAATATGTAAGAAAAATCCACATGAAAATGAATGTGAACTGCGGGGTCGTTTGGATGTGGTATTTGCATGAGTTATTTTGGTACAAATAACTTAAAACGAGTTATTTGGACTAAAATAACTGGTTTGGCAACTCAACAATGGAATGTGCTATTTGGATGTGAGGTATTTTGAAATAACTCAAAAACGAGTTATAACAAAGAGTGAAGTCTCTTGTCACGTTAGGTGACAAAACACCTAATTTTGGGTTATTCACGTCATATTTGCGTTATTCACGCCATATTTGTGTCATTCACGTCATATTTGCTTTATTCACGTAAGAGTGCTGATTATTCACCTAACCAATACTGTTAGGTCACGCCATCTGATGTTTATTCACGCAATTTGTTAATTATTCACGCCGTTGTAAAATAAAATTTTAAACTTTGAAATATATCAAAATGGATGTCATTGTGTAGATTATGATCAATGCAACATATTTATACAGATTAAATGATAATCCAGATTTAATTCCATTAAATATAGCCAATACAAATTATTAGGGGGAAAACGTATGAATTTCTATTTATGTGAAAAACTTACACTCTTACGTAAATCACCATATTATTACGTGAATAAACATAAAATAGCGTGAATGATCACAAAATGGCGTAAATGCACTGGTCTTAGGTGTTCTGTCACCTAACGTGACAAGAGATATTTTCGTATAACAAATAACTGGGGGTACCCAGTTTTTTCTAAATAACGCGTTCTTGATTTCTTCCTTCCTCTTCTGCCCCTTTTTCGTTCTCTTTCCTCTCTTTCTCTTTCCTTGTCCTTCCCAGAGAGAAAGCTTTCCCCTCTTTGTTCCAGAAGCAAATCTCCTCTCTTGCGGTGGATTCACAACTCCTCCTTCAATGGAATTTCTCTTAATCTATTTTCTTGTTTTTTTCCGATTCTATCAAAACCCATTAACCCCCCTTTTGTTGGCGATTCAACAAAAATCCATAAACCAAGTTGCAACGGCTGTAGATCGCGAAGTAGAGATGGAAGTGGAGATTCCAACCGACCGCTGTTCTTCTTCCTTATCTGGATTATTGGTGGCTAAGTAATCTGCAGGTGAGCATTGAGGAGTGGATCCTATATTTCTGTGGGTCTTCTCAATTTCGGTTGGGGATCGTGGTCTGGGTCATGATTTGGGTTGGGAATGCGAATGTGGTCTGATTTGACGGTGGCCGACGTTGAAGCTCCGTCTACTTCCTCTTCCCTCGTTTCATCGTCGTCGTTGAACCGAAGGAGTAGGAGAAGGGGAGTTCAGAAGAAGCCTTCTCGGCGCTGGGTTTTTTTTTTTTTTTTACAGATTTGGAGCTCGATTGTTTTGGGCTTTGTAAACTTCGATTGGCTTTTCTCTCCGCCAGCCAATTCTGCCCAGTAAACTTATCAGCGCTAGCAAATTGTGCCCACTGCGACAGTCCATCTCCTCTGCTCTCCGCCACCCAGCCGGGAAATCTTTATATGTAAGACGGAGGGAAGAAGAGCAGCGGAAGCTCTAGTGTTCCATTCACTTCTTCACTTTCCTTTTCCTAGTAGGTATCTGTTGCATGCAATGGAATTTGATGAATTTGCTAGGAGGAGTTCGAACAAGAGGGAGGAAATTGGTGGAGAATGGAGACAGTACAGAGTCGTTTGGGTCCTTTGAGGGCATTGTTGTATTTTGACTTCTTGGTATAAAATAACACATAAAAAATAACTCGTTCTGCCAAACGGTATATTAAAATTCAATTACCACATAAATACCACACAAATACCACAAATCCTAAAACTGAGTTATTTGACTATGAAAATACCACATTCATCCACAACTCATCCAAACGACCCTGCATGCATTGTTGATGGATTTACAAGTTGAACCTCTGGTGAACTATTGTAAGACGGCACTTGCTTGGATGGCTAGCTAAAGGTAATATACTTCCAAATTTGAAAACAAAACCAAATAGAATTTTGGTGGGCACAATGCTACCAAATCTCCAGAACAGCTGTGACTGAATCTTTTCGAACCTCATTGCAACAATTGATTTTAACTTCACAACAGCAAGTCTCAGGAGATTGAAAACTGAACAGAGTGTAACATTGAGTTCCATATCAAGAGGGTAATTTCTCTTTCGACTCTTCCAAACTGAGTGCCATGATGAAATGTTCTCTCCTAAGGAGAAGTGAGTGCAGCCGGAGACAACCAGCTGCAGACACATTTCATCTAGTGCCAGTAAGCAGAATTTAAGTTTCACTTTTAAGCAAAAACTAGACAACACGGAGAAGATGTGATTCTAAGCATCCATGGATCATTTAAGAAGATGATTTCCAGGTCTGAATCTCCTCAAGATGCAGAGCAAAATGGACTAAACTGATAAGCTAAGACAATATATTACGTACTACAGTTTGTTGGGCCCTGCTGAAGTCGCACCTGCACGTTAACTTCTATCTGACATGCTCTGGAGATTTCGTAAGGAATTCCAGAAAAACCCTCTTCAGCCTGAACTGTTACCAGAGATGGTATTTACGTATTATATTCTTGATCTCCAGAGCCTGCAACCAAGAGTAGAGGTCAAATTGACACAAGCAGATGCACAGAATTGTGGTCTGTTATCTAGGGATTTTGCTGTCAGAATGACTTACAATGAGAAGCACAAGATGTAGATTAAGGATGTTATAGACAGATTAATTGGAACTCCGTACGTCCCTAGTAGAACTATTGCCCCTTGGACACAAGATCAAAGTATTATGATCATTCTATTTTAAGGCATTATAAATGGTACTTTACAGAAATGCAAAGCTAAGAAATGCTAACGGCCTAGGCATAACAATGAGTGCCACTAAACGAGAGAAATTTACTATGGATTCGACTAATTAAAATGAGAAGCATCTCACTGCCTTTGCTGTCTTATCTGAACACCAACTTGCTGAATCTAGCCTCTCTCTTCTGAGTTCTGAGAGAACCAGATCTTTCCAAATATGTTCCAGCATCATCTCCTCGTCCCCTCATTTCTTATACTGTATGCAATCCAGAAAAATTAGCGTCGCTTCATGAATATGATGCGGATATTGTGCAAATCATATGGCACATGAGCCCCAACATTCCAACTCATTTACCTTATTTATTCGAATCAAGATGGAAATTGAGCGACTCCATTAACAATGGAATTAAAGAATGTGCATATTTAAGCATCATTACTCAGCAAGCCTCCTCCCAAATGGAATTTATCAATCAAGTCTTCATAAACAAGACATGTCGAACGAGCTGCCACAGGAAAGAGGAACGTTCCATCAGCCATTTCTTAAAGAACGAAACAGAGAATCTGAGAAGATAGAAATTATATGACAAAACTTAGTAGCAACTTGCCTCATTCAATTTCCACAAGCCAGCTGCTTCCTTATAAACAGTCTCCTGCAGACCCTCGAAATTAAACAACAAAGAACCTTTCCCCAAACAGAACAATCTCAATAGAAAACATTCTAGTCATCATGATCCATCAAGTCCTTCAATTAACATGGTGTAAGTTTTGGGATGAATAAAACAGCCCTTCTTTTCCATGAGGCTGAATAATTCAGAAAATCCATCAACAAGGCCTTTTTTGAGCAGGCCATCAATTAGAACTTTCCAAGCCACTTCGTCATAATTGTACTGGCGATGAAGCAAGTAGGAAAATGCTGCCTTAGCCTTGACAGTATTCCCTTCGGCATATAACCCACATACTATGGACATGAAAGAATCCAATTTTGGTAAATGACCATGCTTCATCATAGACTCCAGTAGATTTAATGCATCCGCATACATTTCCAGCTCACAACAACAACCCAGAAGAGAATTAAGAATATCTTCATTGGGTGACAATCCTTTAATATTCATGTGGTTGAGTAACCTTTGAGCCATAGCCAAGCGCCTCGCCTTGCAAAGTCCGATAATAAGCTTGGAGTAAGTGTTCACAGTCGGCGAACAGCCATGTTTAATCATTTTCTCCAGAAGAAACAAAGCAGTATCATACTCCATAACCTTCCATACATCAGCAACATCCAGAAATGCTGCATCTCTATCACCCACACCTGTCAAACTGAGGTTCTCTTTGCACAACTTATCCTTGGACAGATGCTTGATTAAAACAGCATATGTATGATGAGGAGGTTCACAATCATTATCATCCATGCGCTTGAGTACAGTAAATGCATCATCCATCAATCCCAGTCTCCCATAAGCATCGGCTAAAATGGTATAAGGCAAGGAATCTGGGATCACTCCAACTTCAAACATCCTAGCCATCATATCCTCTGCTTCTTGAAGGTTGCCTATGCTGCAGTATGCATGGATAAAAGCTGTATATGTATATGCATCAGGTTTGCATCCTAAGGCTACCATGTGATTTAAAATCCTATAAGCGTTGCCAAAATCGCCTTCTTTCAGCATCTCTTTGATTATGATCGTGTAAGTATGAACAGTGGGATTTAAACCCACTTTTCCCATATTTTCCACCAACTGCAAAGCTTCTTTCTTTTTTCTCTCACTGTACAACCCATGTATCAAGGCATTGTACGTGGATGAATTAGGCTGGCAATGTTCACTGTGCATTTTGTCCAGCAAAGAACAAGCATCATCTACCCTTTCAGCTTTACAAAGTCCATCAATCAATGCAGTATAGATCACTTCATTTGGCTGTATACCTTTCTCCTTCAGGCTGTGAAACAAAGCAAGAGCTTCCTCTACCCTCTTCTTTTTACAAAGTACATCCACAAAAACAGAGTAAGTCCATATATCTGGAATAACCCTATTATCACTCATCAAATCAAGCAACTTGTAGGCACTATCTAGATTACCTAATTTACACTGGCCACGAATCAACAAATTAAAAGTAATAATGGTAGGGGTCAGCTTCGAAGCAAGCATTCTATCTAGCAATGTCATTGCCTTGTGCACACATTTTGCCTCGCAGAATCCATAGATCAACTCATTGTAAGTGCGTTGATTTGGCTTACAATTGTTAGACATCATCATATCAAAGATTTCAAGAGCAACGTCCATCATCCCCTCCTTGCAGTACCCACCAATCAAAGAGTTGTAGGTAGCTGCACTGGGAATCAACCCTTTGTCTATGATCTCATCTAACATTTGTCTACTCTGCTCCATCTTCTTTTCTTTACACAAGGCATCAATCAACACAGTGTAAGTATGAACATTCGGCTCACACCCTGCCTCCCTCATTTTGCTTAACACTTCCATTGCTTCTAACTGCCTATCGTTTGCAAGTAATGCATCAATTATTACCGTATAAGTTCGAACAGTAGGGAGACAATTATCTTCTCCCATCTTCTTATATAAACGAATGCCTTCATCAACTCTTCCGGCTTCACAGAGTCCATGTATGAGAACCGTGTAAGAAACTGCATTTCTTCTACAACCTTTCTTCTGCATCTCGTTAAAAATTCTAAATGCAGCATTCACATCATTATTCCTGCAGTGCCCCAGTATCAATGAAGTGTAAGTAAAGGTGTCTGGCTGCATACCAGCCTGCAAAATTTTACTCACATACAAATCCGCCTCAACCACATTCCCAACCTTACAATACACGTTAATCATAGTATTGAATGTGTATATATTCGGTGAAACAAAGTCACCGATCATCTCACTGTAAACTTTCTTCATCTCATCAATCATTAGGAACCTCGATAACATCATAAGCAGCTCATTGTAAGTCCTAACAGTGAGCTTAAACTCCATCTCCGCTTCCCCTTTGTTCATATCTCGCAAACAATCCAAAACCGAGGGCGCCTCATCAACCGAACTGCAATCTTTGATCATGGCAATCCTAACTTTCTCCGCAACACCGAAAAGCTTATTCCGAATCAAATTATTCAAGAGCAATGAATGCGACCGAACATCGTGCCTAAACCCAGGTTTCCGAGCCACGAAATTGAAGAAATTGAGGGCGACATGAGGGGGAAGGCCAGGGTTGTTATGGAGAAGAGAGGATACGTGAGAAGGACAGATGGCGGATATTAGTTTTCGGATGGAATGGTGTTTCTGCCAGTTGGGAAGAGAAATGATTGCGAGAAGCTGAGAAGGAAGATCGACCGGGTCCGTCGCCGGAGGAGGAAAAGGAGCGGCGGCGGTGGAGGTAGAGAAAATGGAAAGCAGCCGATTGGAGATGCCGCACAAGGAGGAGGAGCTGATAGAAGAAGAAGAAAAGAAAGAGAGCAGACCTGGGGATGCAGCGACGATAGTGGCCGCTCGAGATTTGTTCATCTTGGAGAGTCTAAAGACAGCAAGGGTTCCATTGGCATCAGTAAATTTGGTCACCAGGGGACGGCGGGTGGCTACTGACGAGCAGCAGTAGAGGCGGCGGCGGCGCCTGGTGAGCAGTAGAGACGCCTGTGACTGGTGTTGTCGACGGACGAGCAGATGAGAACAAGGGCGAACGGCGACGGCGATTTGGAGGAGACAGAAGATTAGAAATTCCGGTTTTTGATTGGTGTCTACTGTCTAGTGTCTAGTCTCCGTCTGGCCGAATTTGTGGGATTTCCAATTTTTCTTTAATTAAAATTTCCAAATCTCACAAAAACAAAATCCAAACGGCTGCCTTGTGGTAATAAGTGTATGAATGTTTAATTACTTAGATTAGTTAATAGAAAATTAATTAATTAATAATTAATTTAACAATTAATGTTAATATTCAGTACATTAATTAATAAAAATTTAATTAATTAATAATTGATTTAACAATTAATGTTAATATGCAGTACATTAGTTAATAGAAAATTAATTAATTTTTAATTAATTAACAATTCATGTTAATAGTACATTAGTTAATAGAAATTTAATTAATTAGTGCGCATCTAAGTATGATATTGTGTAAATTTGTAGATAATTAGATATGGATGATGCGAGTGGGAATGAGTTGCATAGATTCAATGGTAGGGTTGTTGATGCATCAACACGAAGGAAGGTGCCTAACAAAAATAAGGAGAAGAAGCGCTCTCGAGATATTGGACATCAGTCAGAGGCAAATTTAGGGGAGGATGAGTTAGAGGCTCCTACTGTAGTTGCTTGTTCGGCATCATGGGCGTCTAGTTCCCATGGGAGGAACTAGGGTGCTGCATCGAGAGTAGTCTCGGATGAGTTTGATGAGGACGATATTCATGAGGATATACAGGTCCCTCCACCTACGCATGGACATGGACGAGTGTCGTTTTGTACGGCAACATCACGTCCTGCTATGTATAGGGATCGAGCTGGGCGGTTCGTACCACCTGCTCGTGAGGAGACAGAGAGCTCGGGGACTGGACGGAGTAGGGGAGGACGTTCGGGTGGTCCTCCACCGTGGGAGCTTGTTGGTGAGTGTCCTAGTGGACCTACGGATCCTAGCCTCATTAGGAGCTTCCGTGACCACGCTGCCTATGCGCTTTGGACGGGGGTTGGAGATCGAGGGGTCATCAGTTGCTACAGTCGTACATCGGCGATTGAGTATATGGGTAGCTACGTGTTTAGTCATGTTGAGGCGGAGGATTTGGTTCAGCAGTCAGGTCTCCAGCACCTGATCTACTCTATGTTCCGCAAGATAGCGATTGACGAGGCTTTGATCTCAGCTTTTGTGGAGAGGTGACAGCCAGACACGAACACCTTCCACTTGCCTTTTGGAGAGATGACGATCCTCCTCCACGATGTTCAGTACTTACTGCAGATTCCTGTTGAGGGACGACTAATGAGTAGGACTTCTGCGCAGCTTGACCATCTGGAGGTGGGTTTGTGTGCGCTTCTTGGGATGAACTCGGAGCAGTTGAGTGGTCGTTCGGAGGCCCCTGGATATGGTAATAGGGGTAAGTGGTACAAGAACGGTGGTTTTCTTGCGGAGATGGCGTCCAGATACTTGCAGGTGAACGAGACACATGTGACAGAGGCGCAGTCGTACTTGTTGTTGCTATTGGGGTACACTTTGTTTGTGGACAAGAGTAGACACAGGGTTCGGCCGGTGGTGGACCTATTTTTGGACGAGTTGGAGGAGGTAGATCAGTACAGTTGGGTGTCAGGTACACTTGCTTGGTTGTACAGCTACCTTGGTAAGGCGTCTCGTGCTGGTGCCAGGGGGTGGCTATTTGTCTCACACTTCTGCAGTGTTGGATCTACGAGTACTTTTCAGGTTTCAGGCCATCTCACTTCGAGCCACCCGTCGTTGGACCTGATGAGGCTTGGGCTTCACGATGGAATGGGCAGTTGTCATCTGGTTCTGTGGCTGATCCTAGTGTGAGGTTGGCGTTCTACCGTTGAGCTCTTGACAGCTTGACCCCTTCTGATGTGTTTTGGACACCTTTCCATATGAGGTCTCATCTGGCAGTGCATCGCTCTTTGTACACTGGAGTGATCCGGTTCGCTGATATAGGCGAGTTCTATGATCCAACCCGTTGCCTCCGACAGTTTGGATACCGACAGATGGTACCGCCAGCCCCTTCGCGGCCTCAACGAGCAGACCGATCAGAGGCACCTGGTGGATATGTCAATCACTCCTCTACCAGACACAAGGAAAGTCTTGAATGAAGAGTGAGATGACTCAACTCTATTCGAGCTCGTGTTACCAAGATGAAACACATGGTTCGTTAGCACTTTGCCCATATTGTCTAATGAGGCAACCACTCACCTCGCACGTAGTTGACCATTTTTATGTTCTTCTCTGTCCAGACCCTCTCAAACTCATTAATCTTTTGAAGAAAACCCTCTCGAGTCCAACTCCATGCAGCTTTGTCGAAATATTTCTTCCATACCGCTTGTGCTACCTCTCTGTTTGCAATTCCACCCAATAATTGCTCAAACTTTTGCTTCACACAGTTGTTGACGTGCCATAAACATAGTAGGTGGACAGTATGTGGGATAGGGAAGACCACAGGAACAGAAGCAAGTAGACCACCTTCTTTATCTGTCACAATGACATTCGGAACCGTATCACCGAGCAACCCTTTAATACATCGCAGCAGCCACTCATATGTTTCCTTTGTTTCCTGCTTAATAATTGCACATGCAATGTTGAAATTCTTCTTGACTGGAGTAACCCCAATAATCTCAACCCATGGCCAGTCGTACCTGTTCGTCTTGTAGGTCGAGTCAATGAGGATGACGTACGGCCATGCATGCAACATCTGAATGGACGTCGGGTGCGCGAAAAACAGATTAGTGAGCACATTATTAGAGTCCTTTTGCAAACATATATGGTACCCACGTTGTTCAGCTCCGTGAAGTGCAAACTGTATCGCATCCATTTCACCCATCTCATCTAATCTTGTCTTGTAATTTCTGTTGTACATCTGTTTGATATCATGATGCACACCCTCTTCAGTATTGAGTGTCGTCTTCTGCTGATTTGGTCTCACCCCCGCCTTCCTCATTAATCTTAACCTCTCTTTTTCAGCCAGTTGTGTCGGCGATGTTCTGGATACAACAACTTTTCATGGTTGTGAAACCCTCTATTAGCTCCGATTACACGACTTGTCACTCCCACTATGACCCATGTGTTTGGACCATTCTCTTGCCATACTTCCTTAATACATATCTGAAACTGGCAACCAGTACCCTTCGAACTAATATTCCCACGCGTCTCCTTCGTAGGGTCTGGTTTATAAGACTTAACGATCCTACTGTTTCTGTCGCAATACATACAGAGGGCAGTAACAGGATGTAGTCCAGCAGTATTCGGTTTCCATGCTCCTCTAACAATAAAGAACCCACACTCATGAGCGATTGTTTTTGCAGCTAACTCAGCTAACTTCACACTTGCATAATGGATCCCATTCTCAAATTCCTGTGTGTAATCATGATCGGCCGGTAACCACTCTGACATTTTTCCTACAATTACAATATAATACATCAATATTCCTGTGAACCTAAACGCTAATTCCAAGTCTTAACCGCTAAATTCAATTCATAAACTCTAAATTCAACTCCTAAACTCTAAATTTAATACTTAAACTCTAAATTTAACTCCTAAACTCTAAATTCAATTCTTACACGCGAAATTCAACTCTTAAACGCTAAATTCAACTCCTAAACTCTAAATTCAACTCCTAAAATCGAATTTTTCCGAAAAATTCCAAACACAGACTGTAGGCCGAAATTTTCCGGCGGCCGGAACCAGGCAGGGTCGACGGAAATCGGTGGCCGGAGCCAGGCTGAGCCACAAAATGTTTTCGGCCCACCATCTGTTCGTTGCAAATCGTCGGAAAAATTGTTCGAAACTACAAAAAATTGACGCACCTGCTTAGGGATGATTCATGGATGCGTGTCCGCAGTTTACGTCGATGATGGGCTTTCCCGATGATTTCCCGACGACTTTTCCGGCGAGCGTCGATTTTTTCTGATTCAATACGTTTTCTGTTGGATATGTTGTAGATTGTGAAACTCCTTAACCAAAGATATACATATATACTTTTTTTTTTGTTGGCGGCAAATAGCAATTTGGTTGGCGGCAAATAGCAAGCCCCTTGTGTAAAACCTTGGATTTTGAGAGTAAAGGATTATGTTGGATTTTGTTATTTTGGAATTGTGTTGGATTTTAGAAATTGCATGTTTGTTTGTTGGATTTCAAAATGAATTATACTATGATGGATTTTATGGGTTACATGATGAATTTACCATCATATCCTTATTCATATCATTAATAAAGTATTTTTATTTTTTAGTTAAGGATACTTTGGTCATTTCATCATTAGTGGGGTCCATGAATTTTAGCTTCTCCCAAAACTCTAGCTCATAAGGTGGGATTTTATAATCTGTGGGGTCCACGGATTTTGAGCCAAAAATAATCTCACATCTATGGGCCCCGCGGATTTAGGTCAATCTCATTTTAGGCAACAAACATGGATTTAAGGCATAATCCATCATATGTGGGATTTTGAGGCAAAATCCCTCATCAAAATCCTACAAGCAAACTATCTCTTAGAATCTTGCTTGTACTCCGATTCAACCCATTTTAAAGCTTTTTATTCTCGTTTTCGCTTGACTTTGCATGCCAGTTACAACAAATTTTGTTTTACTTTAAGGAAGGTTGGTGAATTGATTAACCGTAATTAATTCATGATCTCTTCAATCAACTAGCAGGTGGTCGTCTCGACGCATCGATAACTAAAAGAAAATTTATAATTCCAAATACTTGCTTGTGTGGAAAAGAATAAGACTTTCTTACATGGGAAATTCCTACAATACCTTGAAGTTATTGTAACTTGATGTTTTTGACCTGCTATAACAGGTTTCACAATTCGCATTACGTAAAATACAATAGGCATTACGTAATGGTTACGTAATAGGTGTTTATCTTACGTAATAGTTGAACAATGTCATTACGGAAACCTTACGTAATAGACACTCATTTTATGTAATGAATATTAACATTTCGTTACGTAATCTGTTAAATCATTACAGAAGACTTACGTAACGCTTCTAATTTGACTGTTACGTAAAAAATAACTATCGTTACGTAACCTTTACGTAATAGATGCATACTTTACGTAACAGTTGTAAAGTGGCATTACGGAAGCCTTACGTAATGGATGGTCCTTTTACGTAATGAATATTAATCAAGTTACATAATGTGGTAAGCCATTACGGAAGTCTTACGTAACACTTCTAATTTAACTGTTACGTAAGATATAACCTTCGTTACGTAACCTTTGCGTAATGAGCGTGTATTTTATGTAACAGTTGTAAAATATCATTACGGAAGCTTTACGTAATAGACGATGCTTTTACATAATGAATATTAACCTAGTGTTACGTAAAATGATAAGTCATTACGGAAACCTTTCGTAACGCTTCTAGTTTAACTGTTACGTAAAACTAACAAGCATTACGTAATTTTTACATAATAAACATTAGTTTTACGTAATGTGACCTATAAAACCTGCTATAGCAAGTCAAAAAAGTCAAGTTATAGTAACTTCAAGGCATGGTAGGAGGTCCCGCATACAATTTTTTTCACCGACAAAACATTTGTGTTTGAACACAGTTTATGCAAATTGACTTGTCACTGCTCAAATATCTTTCGAACACATCAATGTGGTATTGATTTTGTTTTTAGGCATAAACAATAAATTTTGGTGACAACTAATATCGTACTAGGATTAGGGCAGAATATGAAGTTTCTTAAGCTATAAGAAACTTCTATCTCCTCTTCCTGATAGGGCTGGGAATCCGGATCCAGTTTTCCGGTCAAACCGGAAACCGGACGGTTTTAACCGTTCCGGTTACAACCGGAAACCGAATTCGCATCAACCCAATTCAATTCACAGTCGCTGGCTGTCTGGGAAAAACCGGTCCGGTCCGGTCCGGTTTAAAACCGGAAAACTGTTTAAAACTGGATGGATTAACTGACCAGGCCCAACACTAAATTATAACTAACTCACCAGGCCCACTAAATTATAACTAATTGACTAGGCCCAACAAAAAAATTCTCCCAACCCACTCAGTCACTAACCCAGCCACTCCTGACTCCAGGCAGCCGAGCCCAACAGAACAAGGGGGAAAGAAACAAAACGAAACCCTAATCGTAATCGGTCGTTTTTCTTCCTCCCCTTCAATCTCCATCTGCGGCTGCGCGCGGAACCCTAATCGGACGTTCCTCTGCCTCCCCTTCAATCTCCATCTGCGGCCTGCGCAGCTGCCTGCCGCCTGGTTCGCTGTCCCTCGGCGACGACGACGACGACGAGGCAAACAACGGCGACGAGTGGCGACTGGCGAGTCATCTCCCTTCGATCTCCCTTCGTTCGAGAGTCAGAGCAGTCTCCCCCGTCTCCGCGTTTGCCATACATCTCCCTTCGAGCGTCGATCTCCTCTGCTCCTGTACATCTCCCTTCGAGCGCCATCATCTACCACATCTGCCCTTTCTCCCGTCGAGCGTCGATCTCCTCCGTCACCAGACGCAATCGACGAGCCGACGACACCTCCAGATTCCGGCGAGCGGCGACGACCTCGGTAGAACGGCGGTCAAAACGGTTTTCCGGTTAAAACCGGACCAAACCGTATCTGATCCAATCCGGTTTGGTTTAAACCGTGTCCCAGTCCAATCCCGTCCACGGTTGGGCATAAGTCCAATCCGGTCATAAAAAACCGGGTCAATCCGGTCCGGTTTAAACCGAATCGGACTATTTCCCAGCCCTACTTCCTGACATACCCTATGATACATCTCTAACCTCCCAACATTTCTGTACCTGAAGGCGACAATTCGACTCACATCTACCTCAAAACTTTGTTGATCAGAAAGGTGCATTCTGTATGTGGCCCTTGTCTTGTAGGGCAGTTGTACCTATTAGTATTAGATAATGTCCCATTCTCCCCCACAAGAGATGTGTAGATAACAGGCAGCAGGCCCATGGGAAATCGTTCTCACTTGGAAGGCCAAGGCCCAATGGCAGCAAGCAACACCACATAGTCTGGATTGCTTCTTAAATTGCTTCAACATGCTGCTATACCAGTTTGGTTGTCGTAGGCATGTTCCCGACCTAAATTTGACACTCACGCTTCACCACACGATCAATACATGGAGAGATCAGAGATATACATATCATTTCGTGTGTGCCCGGCCGGTCACAGTCCATTTCTCCAGTTGTAGGGTATGTACCCTCCAGTGGCGGAGGAGGTGGAGAGGAGTGTGAATTGCAAAGATCTCACTTAGAAGAAGAAAAAAAAAGATTAGGGTTATATGCAATGGCGAAGCTAGTGCATATCAAAGTGGGTCTCAGGACCCATCTTGACTCGGGAGAAAATAACTGTCTATATGTAAATACAATAGTTAAGTGTCATTGATATTTTCCACTTGAAATTCGTCAATATTGGTCAATATTTCTACCACCATTCAATAAATACTGTTAGAGTTAGTCAATAGAGTTGTAATAGCACATTGATGGGAGAAGAAAAATAATAATTGAGTCTTTTGGCAGTTTAATTAATTAATTAACGTTTGAATATTTTGAAAAGAAGTGTCACTCCATAAATGTAACTTCCCTTTTTCCCGTGAAAGGATGTGTCCTTTCGGGAAAGGTAACTACCTTTTTTCTGTGAAAGAATGTGTCTCTTCGGAAGGTAACTTCTAGTTATCACAACTATAAATAGATGATTGCCATAAATATTTTTAATACGAGATTACTTCTTCTTCTTCCCGTTTTCCTTCTCTATTTCATCAACACATAAGTCTACAAGATTGCTGCTTCCAGACTTCGAATTGAAGGGTCTTGGGGGTGGTTTGCTCGAGCCTACCGGTGTTGTGAAGGCAAATAACACTCTAAGGAGAGTGATCTAATCATGCCATCAATCGATTCGTTCCTACCAGTTCCTCACAATCCTGACAATTACCTAATGAATTTAGATGTCATCACTGTATATCATACATTCTAGTTTCTTTCTAGATAATATTAGAACAAAATATAAATTCATCCTCCAAGGTTCAAATTCTTAATTTATTCATCCTCTATCACCAATACCTCCTCTTGTTGAAACTCGCTAGATTCTTTTTATCCTAATAATAAATTTTCTGAAAATAATATCTCATAATTTGAACCTCAACTAGATTATTAAATGTATATTTGATGTGAAAATAGACTAGATGTTGTCTAAAACTATAGAATTCTGAGTTTGTTTTTTTTTTTGAATCATGGTCATTGAAAGAAGTAACTTATAATTGTTGATATCTAAGACTCCACTGCAAGTGTTGAAAGGATATTTGCAATGAGCCTTGTGAAAACACTCTTCAATATCTAACGGGTGACAAAATCATGAATGATTATGTTATAATAGAATATATTGAGATCAATATCACATGGATGCAAGTTTTACAAAATATGAAAACACATTACAGGACACTGCGAGTTATATAAAATTTTCTTGCATTATTTAAAAAAAAAATCGAACCCACCTTACATAAATTCTTGGCTACGCCACTGGTTAAATGTATGATATGAACCTCTACTATATATTTTTATCAAACATGCCCTTCTATTATTTTTATATGAAACATACCACTGCACTTTAAAAAAATTATCAAACACGTCCTTCTGTTAAAATTTTCATCCAAAAACTGTCAACCACGGTTGAATCATCGTTTGGAAGACTCGACCTCGACAAAATGGGAGGGAAAATGTTAATTTTGCCCCTCTATTTATTTCTCTAAGTCTCTTTAAAGTGAAATTATTAGGGTTATTGGCTATACAAAAGAAACAAAAAATGTTTACGTGAAATTATGAGGGTATTGTAGACATTTATGTCGCCCAAACTATGGTTTGATTATGATTGACGATATTTTGGATGAAAATCCTAACAAAAGGGCATGTATGATAAAAATGAATAGTAAAATTCCATATTATACATATTACCCAAAAGATTAAATATGTGTAAATACTAAATACTTTTTGAATATGAATATGTTGAGAACTTAGGATTACAAAATTTAACTCTCATAAAAAAAAATTTATCCTTAATTTGAAAAATTTCCCATTCAACTAGATATAGAGGGAAATAATATCCCAACTATAACTAGCTAGAAAGATCTTTTAACCCTACACGTTTGTTCTATTAATATTAAATTAGCTTTTTTGTCCAGCACTTCCCGACGATAAAATGTTAAACTAGTTTGTTTTACAAAGTTATTATGCGTTCATATAATTATTGCAAAAGAACAAATGAGAGATATGACAATTTCGAGTATCTTATCTTTAATTTTTATAACGACGAGAAATAGGTTTTCTTTTACTGTTATTAGATGTTTCAAACTCAGCAACTCCAGATTAAAGACCAATAATACTACCACGAGAACAAAACTCTTGTTTGACCGCCATAAATGTATGTTGGATACCAGAAAACCTAACCATGCATGCACCGCACCTCTCGCTCTCACTTCATTCTCTACCAGCGCCTAACATTCTTTTCTAGTGGAAGCATCAAGCACGTATAATTAAGTACAAACCCTATCAACTAGAGGGTTTTTTTTGCTTCACCTATATATCCATATCCCCATATCAATATGTGGCCAGCCACTGGCCGATCTAGCTATAGCCCTTCAATTGTAGGGTATGTGAACTTAATTAGTGTGTCTTCTTCGTCCCTACAATTGGTCCCGTCATTTGAAGGCACGACCATGTGGTGCTTAATGAACTATGTCCCATGCAGTAACGTACAAGACCAATTGGGGGCCGATGTTTCCAAGTTGTGGCCGAAAATCCATGGACCCTTTGCCTATATATAAACCTTCAAATGATCTTACAGTTCATCATCACAAACCAACACAGAAAACAAGCCTAGCTCCCACTTTGTCTACTTTCCTTTCATCTTCAGCTCTTTTCTTCAGCATCTCTAAGAAAAAAAAGGATCTACCATGGCTATTGGCTTACCGACAAACCTTGCCAAGAAAATTCTTCGAAGGTCCAGTTTCGGGTCGAGCAGATCATCGTCGTCGACGTCTTCAAGTTGTTCAGACGTGCCAAAGGGTTACTTAGCGGTTTATGTAGGAGAGACGACACATTGCAAGAAGCGGTTTATAGTTCCGATTTCGTATTTGAACCAGCCTTCATTTCAAGATCTGTTGAGCATGGCTGAAGAGGAGTTTGGGTTTGATCATCCAATTATGGGTGGCTTGACGATTCCATGCAGTGAAGAGGCTTTCATTTCTGCTACTTCAAACTAAGGCGAAGACCACGAACATAGATAGATTGTAGAAACAAACGTATTCAGATTTTAACACCACAGTTTTGTGTAGATGCTAATATAGGTGAGGAATTGTAAATGTGTGTACTAGAGTTTCTCCTTCTATAGTTGGATAGAAACTTGATGCTCGAAACATTAATGATAATTGGTTCGGTTAAACATTAACATAGAATATTTTTTGTTTACAAATAGGGTTGTTGATGTTAAGTTATAAAATAAATTAAGATCAATGTTGATTTTCTTGAATTTTCTAGCTTTATTATTTAATTAGTTTGAAGTTAAATTTTCATAACGACTCAAATTATAAGGAAACCAACCAAAAGCATTTATTGTCCATTCCTATAAAAAATGTTGGATTGCTTCATAAAATGTACTTTTTATTATTCAACTTTTTATAATGTAGCGGATAGAATACAAACCCCATGCCTGCAAAACCCGATCATATCATGATATGATATGGTCGGGTTTTAGTGGCCCTTTTTTAACAACACAATTTTGGGAAAAAATCCAAAAGTACCACTGTTTAAAAAAAAATTCCAAAAATACCACCCAACCCCAAAAAATTCCAAAAATACCACCCTTTTTCAAAAACCGCCACCCCACCCAGCGGTTTGGTCGAAAACCGCTTGTCGGGGGCGCGGTTTTGGACCAAACCGCGGGCCTAGGGGGCGGTTATAAAAAAAAAAAAAAAATTGGACCAAAACCGCTGGGTGGGGTGGCGGTTTGGCCCAAAACCGCCACCCCAACCAGCGGTTTGGTCCAAAAGTTCGGTCGAAACTTCAAACGAACGTAACTTTGCACTCGGGTTTCCGATCGTAGCGATTTTTTTTTTCATTTCACATAAATTTTCAAGATCTACAACTTTTACTAGGATGAAATTTTCAAAACAGGAACTATTTGTGGATATACGGGACCTTGAGAATAACTTTACCTTTACTTTTCAGAAATCCATGTACATTTTGAAATTATGATTATATTAAAAGTTGTAGATCTTGAAAAGTTATGCGGAATAAAAAAAAATTCATGACATTCGGATTTTGGAGCACAAAGTTATGGCCGCCCAAAGTTTGACGAAATAAAAAAAGGTCGTTCGGGGTGGCAAATGACGTTTTTTCGAGACGAAGACGGAACCCAACTGTTTGAGACTTGCAAGATCTCAAAAAGTTATTCGGATTCAAAAAATGGAGGTCGCAAACTTTTTGAGATCTTGCAAGCCGCAAACCGCCGGGTCTCGCCTTTCGTCAAACTTTGGGCGGCCATAACTTTGTGCTCCAAACTCCGAATGTTATGAACTTTTTTTTGATTCCGCATAACTTTTCAAGATCTACAACTTTTGATATAATCATAATTTCAAAATGTACATGGATTTCTGAAAAGTAAAGGTAAAGTTATTCTCAAGGTCCCGTATATCCACAAATAGTTCCTGTTTTGAAAATTTCATCCTAGTAAAAGTTGTAGATCTTGAAAATTTATGTGAAATGAAAAAAAAAATCGCTACGATCGGATACCCGAGTGCAAAGTTACGTTCGTTTGAAGTTTCGACCGAACTTTTGGATCAAACCGCTGGTTGGGGTGGCGGTTTTGGGCCAAACCGCCACCCCACCCAGCGGTTTTGGTCCAATTTTTTTTTTTTTTTTTATAACCGCCCCCTAGGCCCGCGGTTTGGTCCAAAACCGCGCCCCCGACAAGCGGTTTTCGACCAAACCGCTGGGTGGGGTGGCGGTTTTTGAAAAAGGGTGGTATTTTTGGAATTTTTTGGGGTTGGGTGGTATTTTTGGAAATTTTTTTTTAAACAGTGGTACTTTTGGATTTTTCCCACAATTTTGTTTAGCTACTAATATAGGTCAGGACTAGTAAATGTGTACTAGTGTTTCTCTTGTTTGTTAGCTAGAAACTTGAAGCTCGAAATATCAGTCATAATTTATTCAATTAAAGTTAAAAATCTTATTTGCTTGCCTCTTACATTAAAAATAATAAATTGTTTTTGTTCACAACTATGTTACTTGATTCTAAGTTATAGGTTTCTGCTAAATAAAAAACATTAATGGTGATTTTCTTATGATAAATAAAAAATTGTATTAAGCCGAGTTACAGGTTTCTGCTATGAATCATCAATGAGTATGTATGGATTCGTCAATACACGATACTCGTATAGATTATATTAGTTATCAATCATCATACCCTACAGATTATATTAGTTATCAATCATCATACCCTACGCCATTATCCCATCTTGTACTCGGTTGCAATATACTTGAGATGCGATGTAGAGCTTGCAAGAACTTCAATCACGAGGCACAATCCGATACTAATCCGAATTGACCGATGTACACCCCTCATTAACATAAGTAAATGCTTTAGTTGATACAAACAATCATCCGCGAAATTGGACCAACCTCGGCAAAGGAAATACAAACAAACAACAATACGATCTAATGGCCCACTAGCTTCTTTCCCTTTCCTTATCTCTTGTGAATCATAGCACTGCCCTTTGCTCACAGACACACTCCCAGGACTCAGAACCTGAAGCTATAAATACTCATAAATAGAAATGTTACATGACTCCAGAATCTCCCAATCCAACATTCGACTCCACCATCATAATCATCCTGCTCCCCACACGGTCGTCTGCGCCGACTACACATATCCCCCTGCTTCTCCATCACTACCGCTTCTGAGAGAATCCCCAAAATCAGTTCTCACGCAGAGACCTCGCAGTTTTCACTTTTCAGCAATACCTCGCTGCTGCTTCTGCTGGCCCCTAAAGCGAGATATGAAGATAGCGTCAAGAAGGCAGGAGTGGTGAACAATTGTGCAGCAGCAGCAAAGAACCTACATGGCGGGAATTTCTTGATATATCCATTGATGGGAAGCCAACAGGTCGACTCGTCATTGGTCTGTAAGATGATGTTGTCCCGGTTGGCGCTTCCAGGTCTAGTAAACTGGTGGGTGGGCAAGCTGGCATCACCTACAGAGAAAGAATTCGTCAAAATCACATCGAACTACGTGCAACATGGTGGGGGTAAGATCCTACGGCGTGGACGCCGAGCTGGCGAGGAATAGTACAGGGAGCGACTTGGGTGCGGAAACCCTATTGGATGAATGGGAGGCACCAGAACGAGAGAATAGAGATGCCCTGCTGGAACCAAAAACTTGGCCAGGAGTGTAGGGGTTATTGTTAGGGATCAGTTAAAGCCACCACCGAAGCTGAAGTTGGTGGCAAAGAAATGGGAGCTGGAGATCGATGAGGAAGAAGTTGGGAGTGATCTGAATGGTACGGAGATTGTGATTGCGACTAAGGATTCACCCGAGCTTGACGCTGCAGCCTTGGTTATTGAGAGAGTGTTACAAGGGATGGGGTTGTAGAGAAGATTGGACAAGTGAAGACTCTGCAGGAGAATATTAACTCTCCTTACTTCAGGTGAGACATGACAGCTAGCTGGTTATTTATTCTATATATACTCCCAAAAGGAAGAAAAAGACGACGTGGAAATGAAACAGAAATCTCAATGATTGAATCAACTATATATGCCAAGATATATTCGTCATAGGCATTAGTATACAGAGTTGAACCATAACATAGTAGAGAAGATTAAATTCCACTGGACAACAAAAAAACCCATGTTTTCTGCAGTACGAAGTTCATTCATGCACCATTTATTGTTGCATAAACAGAAAGAATAATGCTATGACTGTTCTGTGAGCAGAGTGGCAAAGCTGATAGGACATAGGGTACAAGAGGGCTGTGGATGCAGAGAGGGGTTTAACAGGCCATATTCAAAGGTGATTGTCACAAACTGTGGTTTGATGGGATAAAAAAAAAAGTTCTTCTGGTGGTAAACCCTCCAAGTTCATTCATTCTTTTTGCTGTTTTACTTATGGAACGGACTTGGGAGATCTTTGTTGTTGCAAGAAGCTGGTATCGTTCTTACTTTACAGAAGAAGTAAACAAGAAAAGCAGATACTGTATTTAGTAATAGGATATTCTCCACTAGAACACTAGTGAATGGTCATGGCAAATGTACCGACTGGTTCATCCAAGATTGTATATTCACAGCATTCTTAATCTCAAGATCAAGACTTAATGTTCGCACCTGGCAAAATCAATTCACTGCAAATGAAATGATGCTTCAGCTTGATCCAGGAGCGAGCTTTGGCCTTTTGGCTGACGGAGACCAGAAAAGCCTTCGAACTGAAGTTATGGGATCGTCAACCTGATCAACAACCAAAAGTCAAATAAGGGAATCCGTATAGAAGAATACTAGATTGTACCCCGGCCCGTTGGCCGGTTGCAATATGATAACAGTAATGGACAAACAGAAACAAAAAAAAAATTTGAAATGGGCAAATGGCTAAGATGAACATATTTATCAACAATCTTATTGAATTGAGTAATAGTTCTGCTTAATAGAGTTGTCTTCATCATAATACATTTTCTCTACTTGAATTGAGACTTACAACTTTAATTAAACCATGCAATTTTAAAACCAAAAGTAATACCTGTAAGATGGTATGTCGCGTGGTCGGACATATATAACATATTTATTACACGTATTTTAAGAAATTAAACTGATAATTTATTGTTTTATTTTTATTTTTAAATTATATGTTTCTCAAATTTTATTATTGATATCAAAATTCTAAATATTATAATAATTTAGAATAGCGTATAAAACTTTGTACATATGGCAACGCACCTATAACTTTTTTTATTAACACAGCACCAAACTTTATCAGCAATCAATAATACATTCATGGCTATCGTATATAAACTATAAAATGCTAGCCAAATGGAGGTTATGGAAATTTTGTTTTTAACTTTTTGTAGAAGGGGAACTCTAACACGGCGGGCTGCAGAAAAGAGTTAGCATTTGATTGTTAATGAGTCTTTAGATTGCAACTTATATGTACCTCCTTTATATTCCTCGTTCAAATTCATTGAGCTCTTGCAATGTTTTGGTATTGATTGGTAGTTGGGTTTCAGCTGTGACTCTCGTTAGAGGATATGGTGCATATGCATCACTTTTTATTGCAAAAATAATAAGATTGTAAACCATTCTATTTTTGAAACTCCTCACTTATTACACACACAAAAATACATTATAAATATATTCAAATTACTTGATTTTCACTTGACTCGAAGTCAATAGTTCCAAAATTTGTAGATTCATCAACAGCAAGGTAGCAACAAATGAGAAGGGTTTTCATTTGTGAATTTTGTTGTCCATTAATTAACAAATATTAATTTATTAGCTAATAGATGCACTAATAAAGTAATAATATATCTCTTTTACCATTATATTAAGAGATAGATATTCCGATCAAGATGAGAGGATCACCAACATTTGCGAAAATGACATATCGTGAGCATATGAAAAGTTGTACCTCCTGAATAAAAGGTTGATTACTTTAAACCAATGTTTTAGAAAGTCGACTATACTCGAAGGTCGGACCAGAAATATCGGATCCCAAATTATAGGTGGTTTTGGCAGTACAAAGTGGTTGAACCACGGTTCAATTATGGTTTTAATACAACTATCCTACTACAAACATTTCCAGTATAACTTCTGGTACTATTTCACAATCATTGATTTTAACAATTTATTATGTAAATTAAATTTACAAACTCTCGTAAACATCTTAATATGTTGCATAAACCCATAAATGAAAGAAGTGTCCTTACTAAAAGTATATTCTGCTAATAATTTTTAAAAATAAATTCCATTAATTAATAATATTAAAATGTAAGAAGTGTCATTGTCATTCCTAGAAACATAAACTAATCTCGACGGAGTTTTATTTATGTTAGGATTAGGGGATGCTGGCGGATTTTTTGTCTTACATTTATTCATCAATTTTTTTTTTTACTTTTAATATGACAAAATTATCCTTCCTACAATTTCTCATAGCGCTGGAAATTGTAAATGAAAGATATTCTAACAAGAACCTCTATATAATATTGGTATGATGATGATAACTTAGGCCAGTATTGTTTCCTAATACAAGCAATGTGACAAAGTCTGGACTATTTCGATAGCTACAAACCTAACTTAATCAACCGATCCATCCATTAACTATTTTGAGAACAGACTAAGAGATTTCTCCTACCTTGATAATGGAAGAAGCTGAAGGAGGAGTTTTGGGTGATGAATTAGATGGATCATTCTGGCGATGCAAAGCAGTCAGAGTTTGCTGCCAACCTGCTGCTCCACTGTTGGTCGGTACAATCCACGGACAAAAGTGCCTGTGCTGTCTGATGGGATCAAAATCCACACTTCTATCCGATGCAACTTCCTTGAATTCCTTTCCTGCACCAAATCGGAAGGGTGATTATTTTAAACTTGTATACGTTCAGAATCAGACATGCAAGTGTGTATGACTGTCTAAACAAAATATAAACAACCAGTAAAATCAAGAGTAGTTCATAATCTTAAGCAAATAAAACCCTTGTGAATCATAATGCCAAAAGTGGATCAACGATAACTAACCAGCTACTCAAAGAACAAAAAAGAGAAGACACAACAAAAGCAATTATTGGTTACCAGTACCAGACACCACAACTTCTCCGTTTCCTTGATTATGTGAGCCTTCAATGCCACCGTTGCTTTTTCTAATAGAGATCAAACTGCTTTTAATACTAGAACTTTCAGATTGGTTTGACTGTATATTTGGGGCAACACTTGTGCTTGCTTCCAACAATGGCTGAGCATTATCATTTTCAGGAGTTTTACAACCTCCAGAGTTGAACACAGACGAGTGCTCAGTGTTAGCAGCACTACCCTGCCTTTCATCATGTTCTTTGCCCTTTGACGAATCCAGTGTTTCAGATTGAGATAGGTTATCACCTGCCTTATCTTCAGTGTGATCCATAGGCATGTTCGAAGAAAATAATTTTTGAGACTGAGATGCAGAATCCAACTGGCTTCCATTTGAATGGTCTCCAAAATCCTTGTCATATGACAGCCTGGCCCTCAAATTCCTCCCAATAACAGGCAGTGATACTGTTGCTTTGAAGTTCTGTTTTGTTGGAGGAGGACCCCCAGCAATAGTGAACTTCATACTCGTGGGGGGAGACAGAAAACTGTTTGAGGAAGAAGTTACAACTCCAACTTTGTTAACAGGATCTGTGTTTTCTAGTTCTTGCCCGCCACTCTTGCTATTTACTTCTACTACTCCAGCCACCCTAAACAACTCCAGAGGCCTTGGAACGGTAGAATACGTCCACAATCCCACACTAGCTCCACAAAGCCCGCAATTCAAAACGATGGAATTAGGATCAACAGATGATGCAACATTGCTCCTACCTTCCTCACTAACCTCTTTTTGTCCAGTAGCGGCTGAACGGACATTGCTTGAACTATGTCTTGTAGAATCAGTAAGGGATGACTTCAAAATTTCAGACCCCTTTGGTTTTTCAACGCAATCAACAACATAAGGTAGTAAATGTGGTTCCCAGCCACACAGACTAATTAACAGTTGTGCCTGTCAAAGGTCAAAATCAGTGTTGAACATGAAGACAGATTCTGAGAAAAGATAGTTAAAAAAAGTATGCTTCATTATAATCCTCTGCAACAATAGGAAGACTCACACGAGTCTTTAAGTAGTAAATGATTTTATATGAAAATAATTCTAAAGACAAGCTCGCATGACGATGTAGCAATAATATCTCATAAAAGTGAGAAAGTATGAACCTGATAATACAGCTTTGCACTCTCAGCTTCTTTCTCATTTCCCAAGAACTCTATTTCGGATATGCTGGCAGATTCATTCCAGAGGTTGAGATTTGGAGACTGACTAAGAAATTCTTCCAGCTGCGGACTTCTCATGTATTCGATGGCTGAAGATGAAACTACAGGAAGTGCCAAGAGTTGCAAAAGTTTTGAGGAGCGCTCTTCAAATTGATCAACTAGCACTGGAAATGGGGTGGGAGGAAACTCTGCCAATCTTTCATCACATGTGTTGTCAGCCCATGGACACAGTAACTTGTGTCCACTATCCAGCTTTAAGCTAAATACCAAAGCTGCTTTCTCAACTGGAAGAAAGAAGAAGCAAAAAAATAGATTTCAGCAGAGATACACCTTTAGCAAGCAATTCAATAGATACACTCATCAGCATAGGGATATTGCTTGCCTTGCTGCTGTGGCCAAGATGATGGAGTTGAGAAAAGGAGACGTGCACCACATGCTTCACATGCGATGATATCTGCGTCCACATTGATCCACCCCCTCCTTGCACAGCTTACAGCATTTACAGCCTAATATTTATGGAAGACATCAGATCCACAAATCCATAAATGACAGAATTCCAACATGAATAAATGATTTCATCTAATACGGTAATGAATTGGAGATGGGACAAAGCGATATGGAGGCCTTCCTACTTAACTAAGTCATTCCTCCAAAACAGCATTATGATCATCAAAAGACACAACCCTCCATAACCTATATCCCGGAATAGGGCATCAATCCAAACACCCTCGCTCTACCTGGAAAATTGCAAGGAAATACAGTATGAACACAAACAGTAACAAAACTGCCTTCAGCACTTCACCATACACAAACAATTTTACCATCTTCGTATGAGTTAACCTCACAAGTACCTCGTTCACTCCATACATGATGCCGAAAAGATAATGCACGACTGTAAGCAGAAGCACAAGTCTAGAACTACAAGATGGAAACCACTACGTTAAGCAGGAAGACAGTATCAGACCTTTGGCTTGCCGAACCAGGTCATGGATTTAAAAGTAGCCAGCCTCTTCATCAAGTCACCTCTGTCCCACGGTCTACACAACGGAACATTGCTCTGAGCTACTACAGAGCGCTGAGGAACATCGAGAATATCCCCCATCGCTCTTGGCTCCACTAAGGCTAGTGCAGACTCGGGATTTGGCCGCTTCTTCCCTCTTGACGATTCTCCCGCGGACGAACTACCAAGCAGGAACAACAAAATTACATTAAACAAGCAAACAGTACAGCGACAAATTCAAACTCCAAGATGCGGAGACTATCGCAGATAATAATAAAAGAACACCAAAATTTCCATAATCAGCCGAGCCTACGCAACATCCATCCAGATTTCAGTATTCATTGACAAAAAGTTGCAAACACAAAGGAAGAGCAGCTAAATTTCTACGATGGAAACCATCAGCAGAATTACTTTTTCCGGCATTTTCTCCACAGGAACCAAACAGAGAGAAAGGCATTGGGGGATTACCTAAGAGAAGAAGAGTTGGGGGAACTAAAGAGCTTGTCCATGATGGAGTGGAACTTCTTCTCAGGATCCTCTGCCATTTTCTCAATAGTCTTCTTCCGCCGTCTCTCCGCGGCGCTTCGAGATCGATCGGCTGCCTGATTATGAAAGTACAAAAGCAGCTGGGTGGGTGTTTGCCTTTTTGGTCAGGTCGGGGTGAGCGAGCCGGTGAGATGACGACTGACAAGACCAATCTTTGGTCTTCTTTTTGTGATTAGGGCCTGGGTCATCACATCCTAATTTTACGTAGCCAGTGGGCTCTTCAACTGAGGAATAAAAATGGTCGGCCCAAAACAGTGTCTTCGGAATAAGGCCCAGTTAATATACATTAGATTATTTTTGGACCCGACTGCATATCACAGCAATATTATTTTATCTAAATCTTTTTCAAATTTTTTTATATTATCTAAACTTATCGAAATACTAAGAGTTAGCCAAATGTTAACTTACCGTTAACAATTTTGTTAGTAATATTTACTTGTCAATATGATACTGACTTGGAAGAGACACATGAAGTCAAGATTCTAAAATTTTATTATTTTAACTAAGAAAATAGTTAAAAAAAATTATTAACGATAACATAAAAATTGTTAATATTTTGATGAATTATGAAAGATTTGACTAATTAATAAAATTTTAATAGGTTTGGATAATATAAAAGAATCTGAAAAGGTTTGGATAAAAAATAGACATTACCCTATCTTTTAGCCACAACATGCCGACTATCGACTTTAGCAACGGGAGATGAAAAAAGATTTTTGAATTACTATTTGTTATTATATTGTCTAATATAATTAGATATGGATTGAAAATACAAACAAAACAAGTAATTGTATCAAAGTGACAACAAAGCACCCAGCAATAAGTTGATGAAAACTAGTGAAATGTATAGTTAGAGAGCATAAAGTTAGGGATGACAATTGAACTCGCGAAACGTAGGAAATTCTCGCATTGATGGAATATGGATAGAACTTGTAAAGAATTTGATAGTGATGGACCAAGTCTAGTTTTAAACTCCCACCTCCTATACCCATACTCGTATTCGTTCATCAAGAGTATTTTTTATGTATATAAAAATATAGAGATCATATTGTAAATTATTAATAATAGGAAGAGTAATTTAAAAAATTAAAGAGCTTACATAACCATCCAAACCAAATCATAATTTATTTCGTGCAATTCGCCCTCCGCTCTTTCAAACCCATTGGCGGAGGCAGGGGTAACTTTTGAGGAGGGAAAAAAATAACCCCACATATATTTGTACAGATCGAATTAAACACTTACAAGTAATATAATGATATTTTAACATTACAACATAACTCATTACTTGTTCATTAATTCACAAAAAATAATTAAATTATTGGTTTCATTCATGACACTATCATTTCACAACAGCTCGTTAGGTATTATCACGATATTATGGTGTAAACAATGAATTTCTTTCATAATATGAGAACTCGTCCTGATTATTTATGAAACAATAATTGTATTAGTCTTTTTTTCCGTGAATAAATTATTTAGATATTATTAATTTTAATTATATTTATAAAATATTATATATGTTCTGAATAAAGGACAGGGGTAGTTTGAAATCCTGCCTCCGCCACTGTTCAAACCCATACGTTCTATTCTTCATTTTTCATCCTTAAAAATCTCATATTCTGCTTTGTCTCATGCATCAATGGATGCTTTAGTATTTGGTGCGTTCACATTTTACTAAGAATTAATGATTATATATTTGTTAATTTCACAATTTATTAGGTTCATTCGCTTAGATGTTTGTGCCAAATTCGCTCATTAGAGGTTGGTTTTACGCAAGGTTCTTCGTGTTTGAGTGCTTTTTAGGATTTAACAGGTGGAACCAGCCTCATAGTCGAAGGATTGGCGAAAAGGATCGAAACTGGGAGAAGAGGTGAAAAAACGCAAGTTCACGGCTAAAGACAGGAGTTCACGGTCGTGCAAGACCGTGAAGAAGTGGAGTTGACCGTGAAGCGCAAGGCGTACAGAGCCAACTTGAAGGTTACTGACGCAAGGCGAGTTCACGGTCACTAAGACCGTGAACACAAGTAGTTGCCCGTGAACTGCCGTGATCAATGCGGAGCGTTTTGGCACAAGGCGTGAGTTCACGGACGCGTTTGATGGTTCACGGCCGTGAACTCAGCCCTTCTCGTGTTTAAAACCTGAGCTGCAAGGAAAGAGAAGGGGGGAGCCACTTTTGTCAGAGAAACACTTCTTCTGCATTTTTGTGAGAGAAACAAAACCAAGAGAGAAGAAAAGGTTAGGGCTTGGTTTCAAAGGAGGTTTTGGGAAGATTTCCCCTGCTCAAGGTTGAAGAAGAGAGGAGGCATCCCCAAAAGATGGTTTCCACCTCTTTCTCCTTTGTTCTTCCCACTTCTTCCATGGAGTAGTCCTCCTCCTACTTGGGTGTAGTGAAACCCTAAACCCTACCATGTAGTTTTCTTGAATGTGGTTTGAATGATTGATATTGGGCATTGTTCAATTTAATGTTTGATGTATTTTTCACCATGATTTTGCATGCTTGTGCTTAGCAACTTAGGGGTTGTGCATATTTTGTACTTAGCATTTGTGCATAATTATGCTTAGCATCCCTAAGTTTGTGCATTTAGGTGCTAGAAATCTAATTTGCCAACTTAGCCTAGTTTAGAGAGGAAAATCCCCCTTTTGAAGGGAGACTTAATCGAGTTGGTTTTCCTTCCGCTTTCCAAGCCACCTAAACTAGGTTGAGTTAGAGCAAACCTCAATATTGAATTGAACAAATAGATTAATCGTGGTTAAACCGTCTGGCCTTAGAGTTGAGTGAGGAAGTAAGCCGATTACGGATTGTCTAAACCGATAGGGTCGAGTGACATGACCTTTCATCCTCACCTCGGTTTAGCAATCGAGACTGTGGTCTACGACCACATACGCTTTCCTTTGCGGTTCATGATTAGCGTGCCCAAGGCACTCGTTCCAACCCACATAGCATGGTAGCGGTTTAGGGGGAAGCGAAACCCAAGTGAGTTTCCCACAAAAGAGTTTTTAAACCAAATTACTTTTGCTTTCTTTCATTTCAATTGGCAAACCTTTAAACCAAAGTTCTATCGCTATATAATGATTTCAACAACCGAAGTAGGGGTAGGCGGACCGGCCCGGGTCGATATATAGATACTTGCCCTATACTACACCTGATTAGAGTTTAAAAACTTGAGCTCTAATTGGGGTTTAATTGTAGTGTAGTTTCGAGCGAGTCAAGTTTTTGGCGCCGTTGCCGGGGACTATGGTCTGGTATTCTGAAAAAGTTGTTGGTTGTTACTCTAGTTTTTAATTTCAAGTGTAGTAAGTGTGTGTGTTCTTTGCTTGTGTTAGACTTGGTGTTTTCCGATTGTGTGTAGGAGGTGCATGACCCGGAGCAACCCGGCGCCCTTGCTACCACTTGACCAGGACATAAACCGAACTCTCCAACTCCTAGCAAGGGAGAGAGAGCTAGCCGAGGCAACACTACAAAAAAAAAAAAAACAGTCATTACCGATGACACGTTTTTCATCAAAATTAATAGAATTGCGTCGGAAAAGACCTTTTCCAACGACATACAGTCGTCGGACGTCGTCAGAAATTGTCTCGTCGCTAATAAAATAATACTGACCAGTCGTCCCAAAAAAAATATTATCTACGACATAAATTTGTTAGTAATAAAATAAGTGACGTCACAAATGAAATCACTCATGTCGGATGAATTTGACGAATTTTTTTTGCAACGGCAAATTTATTTATTTCTGACGGTTTATCTTTGTAAGTAAACTAGAAATTCTGACTAGTCGTTATAAATACTAGTTATACTAACGTCCACAATTTGAGGCCGATGATTTTTTTTATACGTTATACACACATTTGTGAGGTTAATGGTCGTTAGAAATACTATAATTCATCATGACTAAAAAAGAAATTTATATATATATTAGTATACAAATTGTTGTATTTTTATTACCCTTAATTTGTTTGCAAAACTAAAATATACTTAAATATATTAAAATACTAAAAATATGTATAAAACAAAATTATTGTCCACATGGATATGGGTATCCCGTCAGAAAAACAAAGTATACATTAAAGTTAAAAAAAACTACGCATCTACATACGTTGTTCACTCTATACAGTATTGATTCATTGACGGACTCGAAATAACATGCCCAAATTTGTGACAATCTAAAAAAACGACCAGGCACGCAGCCTGTTTTACCCCCAAATACAGTTTGACACACTTGTCGCCAATTTCGTGACTGGGCCATTACAGCTTCAAGTACAACTTCTCCACCACCTGTGATGTTGTTGTAGCCGAAACAACACCGCCATCCCTCCATTGTTGTTGCTGGAGCCATCGCCGAGCAGACTCTTTACCGGCATCACTAGGAAGGGAGAAGGCTGAGGAACAGGGCAAGCATAAACATCTGAGGATTAGATCTGGCCTTGATTCAAAAAGCAGGGCAGCTGTAGGCCTCTGTCTCTCTTGGTTCCTTGGGCCACGACGATCCCTTCACTCCTTAGTAAAACCAAATCCAAAGACGCAAAAGGGGGTCATAATCTCACTCGAAACCACAAAATAGAAAGGAAGCACACATGCAACCAAATCTCACATTGATCGTGGTTGAAATCCGCGTCCGCGTTCTTTATCGTCGGCGATGGAGGTCGTGGAGGCGAAAGAAAGAAGAAGAAATCTGGGATTGTCGTCTTTAGGAGTAGATGGAACGAGGCTCAAAGAGAATTCTCATTTGGAAGGACTAGATGACTTGAAGGTGAATTCTTGGGTTGTTCTTGCCTCTTGCTTGAGAGAGTGACGAGATGAATGGAGCAAAGAGGGGGAAAAGCGGCGGCACAATGGAAAAGAGATGGAGATGGGAGAGTAAAGGTCATACCGCAGAAAAGAAGTTTATGGAGTGGCAGTAGGGTTTTTCTTATTATTTAAAATCTAAATAAAAGGCACCAGCTAACTAATTAAATGTTGGGTCCGGATAGGATAACAACACCCATTTTGTTGTTACCGTAACAACAAGGACAAAAAGGTAAAACTAACCAAATATAACAAATTAAAATTAATAAATAAAATTTCAATCCCTACCTGTCTCTCTCGATCTACTCCGATACCATTCCCCAGCGACCGCTTCTCCTCCCGTTCGATGTAGCCGTAGGAGCCGGCGACGGACGACATGCACTCGGAAGCGCCGGCTTCTTGCAGGACCTTGGCGAGTCCGAAATCGGCGACGTGGATGAGGGCGTCGGAGAAGTCGTGGCCCTGGTGGTCGATGGCGCAGACGAGGAAGCTGTGTTTGGCGAAGAGGATGGAGGTGAGCTGGAGGAACCAGCTGGACTCGCCGGTGAAGCCGTGGACGACGACGATGAATCCGATTTTGTCGGCGGGAGGGAGCGAGGACCACCACTGGGTGAAGAGCTTGAAGCCGCGGGAGTTGGTTTGGTGCTCGGAGTGGTGGGAGACGCCGTGCTTGGCGTAGAATTCGGACGTGGTGAATTTGCCGAAACGGCTCTGGTCGTTGGAGTCGGAAATCGGGTGCTGAACCACAGCGGAGGTGGTCCGTTGCGTTCGAATCCACGACAGTAGTTTGGTAGTGACAGCAGTTGATTCTCGGAGCAAGGCACTGGAGTTTCTTGGCCTGCACAACAACAACAACCACCACAGTAGTGAAGATGGGGACGAGACTGATGATTCCTCTAATTCAGCCCTGCTTCTGCTGCCAACGATGACATTAGTTTTATGCCTGGAATTAGTTTTATCATTACTGATTACTGTATGCCTGGAATGAGCGGCTATGAGCTCGTTAGAAGAATCAAGGAATCCGAGTCTTTCAAGGACATTCCAGTTGTGATCATGTCTTCAGAGAATGTACCCTCCATAATCAACAGGTGCCTAGCTAGAAGAAGGAGCTCAAGAGTTCTTCCTCAAGCCGGTTCAATTTCTCAGATGTCAACAAGCTCAAATCTCACCTTTTGCGATCATCATCATCCAATAGCAGCAATAATGATGGAGATTATGATGAGATTAACAATGGCAACCCTGTTTATATGTATTAATTGTTGCTTTAGGCTTGGGATGATGATGATTTTGAACGTATTTGTTGGTGATAAGTATAGTGAGATGATAATACATTACCACAAATCTGGTTAAGCAAGCATGAAACACCACAAATGTGTTTCTAAAGCACACCATAATAAATTTCCAGAAGCAGACCAGAAACATCACAAAGTAGACCACAAATATTTCTAAAACACATCAGAAACCTCCTAATGCAAACCACAAACGCAATAAAACAAACCACATAAAGCATACCAGAAACCTCGTAAACCAGACCGCAGATGCTCTAAAACAAACCAGAAACCTCACAAAGCAAACCACGGAATTTTCAAAACACACACCAGAAACCTCATAATGCAAACCACAAACACGCTAAAGCAAACCACAAAAACAAACCAGAAACCTCCTAATGCATACCGCAAATCTCCTAAAACAAACCACAAACCTCACAAAGCAAACCACAACATTTGCGAAAGCACACCAGAAACCTCCTAATGCAAATAACATACATAGTAAATCAAACCACAAAAAAACAAACCAGAAACCTTCTAATGAAAACCACAAATATATTAAAACAAACCAGAAACCTCACAATGCAAACCACAAAATTTTTGAAAGCAAACCAGAAACTTCTCAATGCAAACCACAAACACGATAAAGCAAACCAGAAACTTCTCAATACAAACCACAAACACGATAAAACAAACCACAAAAGGCATACAAAAATGTGAGAAACCAAACCATAAATCTCACAATGCTAACCATAACATCCGGTGATCGTTGACCGGTCAACGAAGTTCGTTGACCGAACTCCGGTGACCGTCAGTGAGCAGATTCCGACGCCGATAGGCATATTCCGGCCCCGATGACTAGATTCCGACGCCGGTAAGAATATTCCGACGCCGGTAAGCATATTCCGACGCCGGTAAGCATATTCCGGCCACAAATAGCATATTCCGGCGACCAAAATTTTTGGCAAAAAATAAAAAATAAAAAATATTTTTTATTTTTTTTTATTTTTTTATAATGACAATTATACCCCTGCTTTGATTTTACACTAGGTCAACTCAACTAATAAAAAGTCATCACAACCCTAGCTTCCTATTGGTTGGAGACTAGTGTTGTTACAATAACAACAAAAGGAGTGTTGTTATATTATCTAGTCCCTTAAATGTTAACGTTTGCAATTGGCCGGAGGGACCGGTTATTGTAACAACACCCATTGTGTTGTTATTATAACAACACTAGTCCCCAACCAATAGGAAGCTAGGATTGTAATGACTTTTTATTAAATGAGTTGACCTAGTGTAAAATCAAAGCAGGGGTATAATTGTCATTATGAAAAATCTATTTAAATAAAAAAATAAAAAAATAAAAAAATATTTTTTTTATTTTCTGTCCAAAAATTTGGTCGTCGGAATTCTGCCACCGGTCGCCGGAAAATGGTCGCCGGTCACCGGAATATACTTTTTGTCCCCGGAATATGCTATTTTGTGGCCGGAATATGCTTACCGGCGTCGGAATATGCTTACCGGCGTCGGAATCTAGTCACCGGGGCCGGAATATGCCTATCGGCGTCGGAATCTGCTCACTGACGGTCACCGGAGTTCGGTCAACGAACTTCGTTGACCGGTCAACGGTCTTCGTTGACTGGTCAACGGTCAACGGTCTTCGTTGACCGGTCAACGGTCAACGACCACCGGATGTTATGGTCTGCATTGTGAGATTTATGGTTTGGTTTCTCATATTTTTTTATGCCTTTTATGGTTTGTTTTATTGTGTTTATGGTTTGCATTGAGAAGTTTCTGGTTTGTTTTCAAAAACTTTGTGGTTTGCATTGTGAGGTTTCTGGTTTGTTTTAATATATTTGTGGTTTGCATTAGGACGTTTATGGTTTGCTTTTTTGGTTTGCGTTAACGTGTTTGTGGTTTGCATTAGGAGGTTTCAGGTGTGCTTTCGCAAATGTTGTGGTTTGCTTTGTGAGGTTTGTGGTTTGTTTTAGGAGATTTGTGGTATGCATTAGGAGGTTTCTGGTTTGCATTACGAAATTTCTGGTGTGCTTTCGAAACTTTTGTGGTTTGGTTTGCGAGGTTTCTGGTTTGTTTTGATATATTTGTGGTGTACATTAGGACGTTTTTGGTTTGTTTTACCGTGTTTATGGTTTGTATTAGGGGGTTTCTGGTGTGCTTTAGAAATATTTCTGGTTTATTTTACCGTGTTTCTGGTATGTTTTAGACAATTTATAGTATGCATTAGGAGGTTTCTAGTATGCTTTCGAGATAATTGTGGTATGTTTTGTGAGGTTTGTTATTCTATCCGACGTTCCTACTAGATGAATGGAATTATTATTTACAGGACAAATATTATTTACAGGACATAATGTCCCAACAAATTGACATTTGAGGGATGAGTTTGATAATAGGTATGGAATTCGAGCACCAAAGGTGCAATTTGATCATATAGGAAAGAGCGAGGGAATAGGGGAGGGAGAAAGAGGACAAAAGTGGAAGACTGGAAGAGGTGTTTAAGTTGGGGAGTAAAAGCGACGCATTCTTCTTCTTCTTTCACTGAGCAGCGGCCGCGGTGGCGGAGATCTAAGGATTTTCCACCGATTTCGACCGGTTCGTGAAGCCCAGATGCAAAAAGGGAACGACATCGGAGAGACTGAAGGTCCATTGCCTGTTTGGCGAATTGCGGGACCCGATTTTCACCAACTGCTTGGTCGGCGGCCGCACGTAGACCGCTGGCGATTCGCCTCAGATCTGGCGGCGGGAAATTGAGCACCGCCATGCTCCAGCACAGGGCGAATACCAGGACGGCTTCCTCGGCGTTGTCGAACGTGCTCAGTCACACCCGGTCGTCGTTCCTCGTGGAGTCCCTGATCTCTGCCGCGTACTTCCCCCACGGCCTCTTCCTCACCCCTTAACTGCAGGCCTCAATGCAAGCTGAACGATGCTGAATCCACGTTGCTTCAATCGCATCGTGACTCCGATCTAAAATTTCAGATCTTGCTCTGTCGCCAAAATCTCCATTAGTGGCTTCAAGAAGGTGGAGGAGGGAGGCTAGGAGATTTGAGATGATATGACGGTGGAGGCCTAAAAGCAGATTGAATGGCTTATGGGATCCATGCTACCGTCGGAGCCGATCTTGTCGGTGGCGGAGGAGAGAGTACGGGAGAGAAGCAGCCGACGGGGATATGGGAGGAGAAGGAGATCGAGAGACGGAGATAGGGAAGCTGGGGATTGCAAATTTATTTATTAATTTTAATTTGTTATATTTTTGTAGTTTACCCTTTTTATCCCAGTTGTTACGATAACAACACCAAGGGTGTTGTTATTGTATCCGGGCCCTTGGCCGGATGATTCTAGAACTAATGGGTATTTTAACCTAGAATTTTTTTTCCACTCTCTAACTCTCACTCTCCTCCTACGGCATTCGAAATAAAAGAGGATCTCTCCCAATCCCTCTTTCGAATGATAATTTTATTAAATATTCAAAGATTTATCTTTTCTTATATATATGACACAACTTTTTCTTTTGTATAAAAAAATGAGTAATCGTTATTATTAAACAACTCTTACACTTTTTCCTATATTTTATTTTTTAGGATGAAAACTACTATATATGATATGCTTCTATTCTACGAAAGATTATAATATAAGAACGTTCGATGGTCCGTATCAGATATAATTTGATGTTTAGATCAGACCAAATTGATGTTTGGATCGGACCATACATAACCGAATATAATGCGATTTGGTCCTTGGTCTAATAAATTTTATACTTACTAAAGAAAAATGAACATATTTTATATTTGGACCTGACCAAATGGGACCGAATGCAATATTGGTCAGGTCGTTGAATGCGTCACATTTTGCTTGCATTACTTGACTCGATCAGAAACAACTTTCAATTGGTCGAAGAGAAATGAAGATTAATCTTCTTCATCTTCTCGACCTCATGAGTTATTAGTTGTTCCGGGTGTCAGTCGTGTCATTGGTGTAAAGGACGACATGAGACACTTCAATAATGCTTTGTGGAAGGCGGCAACTTCTTATGTTCTACAAAATAGTGATTAGGTGCAAGATTTTACAAGGTACATATATATATACTAATTTTTTTGATTTATTGTATGCTATAATATTTTTTATTTATTCAAATGGATAGTTACTATAGAAATTTATTAATAAAAGATATTTGGGTTAATATTTTCGTATGGTCTGAACTTTGACCAAAATAAACATCCTGACCAATCTTTTCGCTCTATAACATTCTGGCCCGAACTATACATCAAAATAAACAATTTGGCCAAACCCGATGTTTGACCATTAACTTAGACGGTCAAACGCGCCACGTCACTGCCAAGTCAGAAGATCAGATAAATATTTAATTTTTTTCATTTTTATTTTTGGTTTAAATAAGGTATTAAAATTAGATGATTTTTTTAATTTATAATAATTTAAAATTAGGGAATGTGTGGAAATTGTGAATTATTTTAAATATTTTATGCTGACTTGGCAGTGACATGGCTTAGTCAACGCGTTTGACCGTCCAAGTTAACGGTCAAAAGTCAGATTTGCCAAATTGTTTATTTTGGTGTATGGTTCGGGCCAGGATGTTATAGATCGAAAAGATTGGCCAGGATGTTTATTTTGGTCAAAGTTCAGACCATACGAAAATATTAACCCAAGATATTTTGCAACGTAAATTACAGAGCTCCAAGGAACAGCTGAGTACTCGAGGTGTTCGTATGGTCGAAGCAGTGTGAGTGGTATGACACCGCTGGTGAAGGTGTTGGTTACAAGAAGATTGGTCACTACACTATTACCGTCAACACAACGCAAAGGCTTAGAACAGATGAGTCATTTGTTCTAACTAGTCAAGCAATTCAAGTTTATTATGTGCAGCCTTTGAGAGATCCAAATTGGGAAATTGTGGTTGAAATACGACCAAAAAATTTGTTCGTGATGCCTTCTAATACGGAAGGAGAAGGAGCACTAGAAAAAGTCTATCAAGAAGACAATATTCTAATTGACTCCAAACTAGGGGAGAGGATCTCATAAACTAAACTTGAGCAGGGTTCGAAGATTAATTAGCACTAATTTGGTCTTTGTAGATCGGAATATATATTACCTAATTTTTATTTTTTATATAACAATGTGCATTATAATTACTTAAAGAAGATGTGTTTTTTTATCGATTCAATGTCATTTCTAGAAAATGTCATGCTTGTTCGATTTTCATAACTGCCTCCCAATAATTTCTTCTGAAGAAAAAAATGTCTACGGTAATTAATTTTGTAAGAAATGTTTCAATTTTGCAACCAAACAGTACTGAAGAATTGTGTATGGTGTAAAAAAGGATTTATTCTGACCATAATAGTACTTACGAACTTTTAATTGAGTCAGAAACAATTTTCTGACCATTTAATGCTGACGAAATGTTTATGGCGTCGAAAATGATTTTTTCCTAACCAAACAGTACTGACGAAATTTTTATGGCGTAAAAAATGTTTTTTCTGACGAAATGTTTATGGCGTCCAAAATTTTTTTCCTGACCAAACAGTACTGACGAACTATTTATGGCATAAAAAATGTTTTTTTCTAACCAATCAGTATTGATGAATTATTTTATTTTGTCAAAATTACTAATATTTTTTTACGAAAGATATTTTGTCGTCAATAATAATTATTTTTTTCTGATGACATTTTTGTATTGGTCAGTAATGATGATTATTTCTATCGCGAAAAATGAAATCGTCAAAAATATTGAGTGGGGGAAATTGAAACCGGTCCAAAATACATTTTACTGACGAAAAAATACAATTATTGACAAAAATTCACATCTGTCAGTAATAATGAAATTATTATTGACGAAAATTGTTGGTCGTCGGAATTAAGGATCTTTTTCGATGCAATTTCTGAGTCGTCAGTAAGTTTTCGTCACAACTGCCTGCCTTTTTTGTAGTGCAAGGAGAAGAAGTGAAAGAGGGGGACAACAATCGGGTCCCGGTGTTAGTGGAGAAGTAAGTGAAGAAGTGGAAGTTGAGCCCGTCATTGAAGAGGAAATGGCCTTGAACCAAAGGCAAGATGGAGCCGCTCAAGCCCGCCATATGAATGAGGAGGCGGGAGAAGAAAGAGCCCTGAGGACGATGGGTTACTACATGGCCCCAAGGCCGGCGGACATTCAATCGCCGATCCTACATCCTCGGGTGGCGGAAAACAATTTCGAGATCAAGCCGACTCTGGTGACTATGATACAAAGCAATGCTCTCTTCCATGGCCATGAGAATGAGTCACCAAGAGAGCACGTGCAGAGATTCTTGGAGCTTGCGGGGAGCTTGAAGATTAATGGTGTGCCGGCCGAGGCTTTGCAACTAAGGCTTTTTCCATACTCACTCTCGGGGAAGGCACTTAGGTGGCTAAACAACCGCCAACCTCGATCCATCACCTCATGGGACGACCTCCTCAACAATTTTATGGCTCGTTATTGCCCGCCTTCGAAGACGGCGGAGTGGAGAAAGAAGATTACACATTTCGAGCAAGAAGAGGACGAAACCTTGAGGGATGCTTGGGAGAGGTACTCCGATTACTTTCTTCAGTGCCCCCACCACGGGTTTGAGGAACAATTTTGGATTGAAACCTTCTACGGAGGCCTAATGCAAGAAGATAAAATCCTCATCGACTCCTTATGTCAGGGGAAGTTGATGAATATGGCTCCACCACAAATTACCGAGATCTTAGAAGACATCGCCCTTAGGGGGTATGATTGGGGGTTGACTCGAAGTGGAAGAAGAAGCAATGAAAGGGGAGTGAGAAGCGTGAGAGCGAGTGCTCCGCTTGAGGCAAAGTTGGATAAGTTGCTTGAGGTTATGCTTGAAGATAAAAGGCAAGGAAAATGGGCGGTAATGTCGTGCGACTGGTGCTCGAGTACTAGCCACGAGATAGCAGAGTTCCAAGCAATGAAGGAGGCAACCACTCCGGTGAAGCAAGTCAACTTTGTGGCAAATGCTAGGATCAACAACCCGTATAGCAATACTTATAACCCCGGAGGGAGGAACCACCCCAACTTTGTTTGGGCATCACCGGCTAATCCAAGGCCCCCGGGTTTCCAAGGCCCCACGGGGACCTTCCAACCTCGGCCAACCTTCATCCAACAAATGCCCCAACTCCGAGGTTCAAACTTTCAACAACCGTACGAACCACAAGGTGCCCTAGGCTTTCAACAACAACATCAAACCGACAAGTTATTCAAGCTTGAGGACCTAGTGAACACCTTTGTGATTACGAGTAGCCAAAAGTTCAAGAAGATTGAGCAATTTATGGATGTGGCGACTACCATGTTTACCTCGGTTGAGGTGGGTCTCCAAAGCCATCAAGCGAGTCTTCAAAGCTTGGAGGTGCAAATCGGCAACCTTGCCGGTATCCTCACCGAGAGACCCAAGGGAGCTTTACCTTCCCAAACCGTGGTGAACCCCAAGGATCAAGCCGGGGTGAATGCACTTCAAGTGAGGAGTGTGAAGGTGGTTCCGGAGGTCGCCACGGGAGAAGAAATAGAGAAGGAAGAGACCACCCCAAAAAGAAGAGAGAAGAAGCCCTCGAGGAACGAGAGGAAGGCGGCAAGCAAGGCATTGCCGGAGGATGGATATGTGCCACCTCTTTCTTATCCCACAAGGATGTACAAGGAGAGGTTGGACAGGGAGTGTGGAGGGTTCATGGAAATGCTACGCAACCTCCACCTCAACGTCCCATTCCTCGAAGCCATGGCGCAAATGCCAAGATATGCCAAGTACCTCAAAGGATTCCTCATCAAGAAGCTAAGGCTTGAAGGCCTCGCCAACGCGACGCTTGGCGAGGAGTGCTCGGCTTTCCTCCCCGACCACTTGCCCAAAAAGCGGTCCGACCCAGGTAGCATTACTATCCCTCTTGATATTGGTGATCACCATATAGACAATGCCTTGGCGGACCTAGGAGCTAGTGTGAATGTGATGCCCTACAAGCTTTTCAAAAAGTTAGAAGTAGGTGAACTTAAGACCTCTAAGCTTAGCATCACCTTAGCCGACCGTTCGGTCATTAGCTCGAGAGGTATAGTGGAGGACATGATGGTGAGAGTGGGAAAGTTTTGCTATCCGACCGATTTCGTGATTCTCGACAAAAGTGAGGACCAGCGGCGGATCCAGGATATGATACAGCACTGGGCCGCATTTGAATAGAAAATTCAATATCGTAAACAGAAATATATAATAACTATAGTTTTCATTACATTGTCAATTGTACACGACGGTCTTTTAATTTAGCAAATTCATCAATAATGGAGTCTTCATCCATACCAATAGCATACCCTCTCTCAAAGAAAATAGTTAAACAATCAGCAAGAAAATCATCGCTCATTTTGTTGCGCAAATCAGTCTTCACATGTTTCATTGCTGAAAAGGATCTCTCTGTAGTAGCCATTGAAACGGGCAACGTCAACACTAGACGAATCAACCGACAAATCATTTTGAATTGAGGCTCCTTCTCTGTTTTCACCAATTTCTCTAGTAGTTTTGCAAGGGAAGAAACCTCAAATTCCTTATCATGGACCACATGAGAGGCATAATATCCAAGTTCACTCTTCAAAGCATTCATCTCATAGCCTTTAAAGTCTTCAGGATAAAACTCCTCAGCAAGTTTGTATATCTTTTCTTTATCAAAATACCGGAAATAACATTTAGGATCTAGTGCACCGCCCAACTGAAGCAATCTAACTGATGACTCATTGAATCTTGTATTCAATGTTCCCAACTGAAAATCTATGCATTGATTAAAGTACTCAAAATGGTAGCGGTGCTCAAGAGTTGTTTGCTTCTCACCACGTCCAAGTGTAGCATTCAGATTAGGTATCTCTATGCCATGTTTTGAGCAAAAAGATTTTACCTCTTGGAATAGCTTGTCCCACCCTTCATCTCGTAGTTGTTGAAGTTTAACTTTTGCTATGGAAACAAATCCAACTACAGCTACAATGTCAATAGATTCTTGTTGAAATGCTTGACAAAGAAAATCAGTTATCTCCATAATCCCTTTCATCAAGTGTAGATTGAATACAAACTCAAAAGTCTTGATATTTTTTGAAGCACCTCTGGCATGAGCTCGATGTATTCCTTCTTTAGAACGGCTAAGATCCTCAAGCACTACACAAGTTGCTTTGAACATGTTCAGAACGCTCAATATAGAATGATAATGAGATCCCCAACGAGTTGGTCCAGAACGCTTTAAGGATATCATCTGATTAGCTCCTTGTCCATATTGAATTTCTCCAGCATCCAACATACCATCAAGATCTTTTTTGTGAATTGCTTGTAGTTCTCTAATCCGTTTAGGAGATGCCTTTACAACGTTTATGATAGAATCCAATAAGGAAAAGAAATCTCATATAGGAGATCACATACCTTTGCAGAAGTAAGTAATGCCAACTGTAATCTGTGAGCAAAACAGTGGACAAAGTAGGCATATGGGCAATCTCTAAGAAATAATGCCTTGGCCCCATTAAAATGTCCTGACATATTACTGGCACCATCATATCCTTGACCTCTCAATTTTCCGATTTGAAGGTCATACTGAGAGAGAACTTCACAAATAGCTTGTTTAAGTGTTTCTGCAGAAGTTTCAGCAACACTCTTGAGAGCAAAAAAGCGTTCAGTTACTATACCATGAGAGCTGACATACCTCAAAATAACAGACATCTGTTCCCTTCCTGCTTCATCAACTGCTTCATCAACAAGAATAGAGAAACAAGAATCCCCAATTTCCTCACGTATCTTACAACGCACTCTGTGTGCTATGATTCCCAAAATCTCTTTCTGAATGCTTGGTGAAATGTATTTCGCATTTCCTGGTGCATTACGAAGAACTACACCATGGATTTGATCATTCAACTTTGCTGCAAAATCAATCCAAGCTAGTACATTCCCCGGATTCAAAAAATCTTCATATTCATCATGCCCTCTAAAAGAACTTCCTTGTAAAGCCAATTGTTTGACAACCATAATTGTTGTTTTCAATCTCAATCGATGCTTTAAAACTTCTTCTCCGCTAATTCTTTGAATAACTTTATCAATATGACCGGAGGGTTTCATCAAGGCATTCTTCGCTGCAACACATTTATTATGAACTGAAGAAGCTGATGAACCAACATGAAGAAGGAACACACATTCCGTACCTTGATGAACCCTCTTCCAATTATCAAATCCCTCATGGACTAATGCAGAAGGTTGAGTCACATGCGTCTTATCTCTAAACAAAAAGCATGGGAAACAATATGCTTTGTGTGTTGTAGGTGAATACTCCAACCAATCAAATTGATCATACCATACCTCTTGAAAGCGACGAAGTCTATCTGGATATGCTCGCGGCTTATAGTACTTGAGTTTAGGTTGATAAGCCTTGTGAATTAGGTACTTTCTTCTAATCTCATCTCTTAACTCAATAGCCCAATCACAAATTTGTTTCCTCTTTCCTGGATCTCTTTCAACTTCAATGTCATTGTCAGATGATGAATGTAGATTACCGGATGGAGGAGGGGTTGACGATTGGTTTTGAACTTGAGAGGAAGATGGTAGAACTTCATTAGGAGAGACTTCTTCAATCTCACACTTTTTGGATTCCTTGCGTTGATAGTAAGAAAATAATGTTGTTTTTGCCTTTTTATTTGGTGCTTGAGAAGATGTCATGATGAATATTCTTCAAATCTGCAAAGTCAATTAAATAACTAATTATACACATAACACATGTGACATATACACAGTACACTCATCAACCATAAAAAAAACAAACATCAACAATATTCAATTGTGTCTTCTAGATTAGTTTTTTGTTTTTTTCCTCTTAACTTCACCTGCTCAAACGTGGGGTTGGAGAATTGGGGATTGCATTTGTAATATTTAAATAGAAACTAGAAAGTGGGTGGGTGGACTTTTGTATAACTTCACCAATCACCAGCAATGCAATCGCCAATCATAAAGGAAGAAGAGCTGAAGAAAGGTTCTACTAGTCTACCACTTACCAGCGGCCAGCGGAGAAGGTGGGTGACTTTTGTTTTGCTTTTGCAGCAGCGGCAGCCGGAGAATGAGATTTTGGGGGTTTTTGCTTGCAGGCAGCGATTTTGCAACAGCGGCAGACGCGGGTCGCGGGTAGTGGTGGGTGACGGACTGACGACGACGGTGATGATCGGATGGTGGCAGTGAAGCGGCGGAGGGGCTGAGCGAGAGCTCTCAAGCACGAGCTTCTATTTCTATCTGAGAGGATTGGACATTTGGACTCTGGATTCTGAAACGTGATTTTTGGAAGAGATTGAGATTTAAATTGGGCCCATTTTGATTTATTTTTCAGCCACCAAATAATACTGGGCCATCAAATAAAAAAAATACTAACGCACTGGGCCAATTTTTAAATACCCTGGGCCAACTATCCAAAATTTCAAAATTATGAAGAGGTATATTGGTTCTGGGCCCATAAGAGGGCTGGGCCACGGCCCAGGGGCGCCCCCCCCCCAGATCCGCCGCTGGTGAGGACTCGGATATGCCCCTCATCCTCGGTCGTCCCTTTCTTGCAACTGCCAAGGCATTGATAGATGTTAATGAGGGAACCCTAATTTTGAGGGATGGTAAGGAGAGAATCAAACTTGAAATTGATCCTAGGGTGAGGAGTGATGAAGTGAAGGGGGGTAGTCTCAAATGATATGAATGAGAGTGGAGGAGAGCCTCCTCAGGCAAACACCACCATTGCTTGTGTTGTTTTTTATGATGTTGAGCAGGAAGTTAAGAAGGGTCCTAAGCCAAAAGGACCAAGAATGAATGCTTAAAGAAGAAGGATGAAGGGAGCTTTGACCCGGAAGACGGGGGAGCCCGGAGCAAGGTTGGCCAACTCAGTGAGCCTAAGATGGGAGGCTACAAGCCTCGCCCCGAGAGTGTGGTGGATTCGCTCTTGGTGCCATCACGTTTGAAGTCGTGATTGATCCCCAACCGTCAAACTAATGACGATAAACAATCATTTGTTGAGAGGCAACCCAACGAAGGTTTGTTTTCTTTTCCTTGGTTTTCGTTTTAGTGTCTTGTGAAGGGTTTGAGTGGTGAAGTGGTGTCCCCGTGCCGAGGGTTGTGTTTTTGCGGTTTATGGTTGTGTTGTGATTGATTAGGAGGCACGGAGGAATAGGTTGAGTCAAAATTTTTGCAGAAGTGCCCTGATTTCACTTCAGTTCACGGACGGATTGCTGAGTTCACGGTCTCTAAGACCGTGAACAGGCAAACGCGTCCATGAACTGGGCGCTGATGCATGTTCACCACCTGTCAACCACTCCGTGTTCACGGACGCATTTGCTAAGACCGTGAACTGGGCAACGCGTCCGTGAACTCAGAGCTCTGCCTATAAAGGGGCGTGAACGGCGACCCTTCACTTTACGACCAAAAACTCGCCGGAAAATTTTGAATCTTCTTCGGAAAACGCGAAAATCGTTGCTTTTCCGATTTTTCCCCCAAATCCGGCGAGCAAAACCAAAAACCAGTGTCATACCCAGTCCCCTCTCCTCAAAACCGGCATGTGCTGTGAATTTGGGGAGATTTGGACCACATTTTTTCCGGCAAAGTCACCGGCGGCGAGCTTCCAACGAAGCTCCGGCGACCCCTCTCTGGTAAGTTTTCAGACCAGTTTTTCACCGTCCTCGCCCGCACCTCACTTTCTTCTGCTTCCTACTTGACTCTCCAGGTTTGTTTTTCAACCTTATCTTTGAGAATTGTGGAGAATCGGATTAGGTAGTGAAGTGAGGTTTAATATTTGTGCTTGGCATGATTGAATCTAGTTAGGGCGAGGACTTAGGTGAATTAGGTCATGTGTGGTTCTTGATAGGAGTGCAAAATGGAGTGTAGTGTTGGAGTTGGTTCCTCAAAAAGAAAGCATTGGTCGATAAATGTTTAGGTGTCAAGTGTTTTTACTCTCTAATCCCCCCCCCCTAAAAAAAAAAAGAGAAACGAAAAGAGAAACGAAAAAGAGGTAATAAAATGGGGTAAATAAAGTAGAGAGTGCCACGAAAAAATAAAGTACATGCTCTCGGAGGGGTTTCTTAACACCCAAGCCAATGAAACCCCCACATTGTTTAGAACTCCGTCACTACCAAACCTTAAAGAACTAGCAAGAGTTGACCGAGGAAGAGTGCTTCAAGGTAGTTCATGATTGGAGATAGTTGGAAGAGCGAGATAAGGGTTTTGGCCGATGCTAGTGGTTGTTGATTGAAGAGAAGGGTTTTAGTCGAAACCATAGACTTTTCGGGTTTAGGTTAAAGATGTAGAACCTCACGTCATGATTGCCACCACCCAAAAAGCCTTTTCCCCATGTCTAAGCCAATCGCCAGTCATTTGAACCCGTGTCTAAGACCTCCAGACGAGCTAGTGGTGACAACCATCCCATGAACTCTAGCGTTTAGAGGTTACCGTCGTAGTATTGAGACGATAGGGCCGAGAGGTTACGATTGTGCACGTCTTTTGCACCAAAAAGGTCCCGAACCCACTGGTCATGAGGGTGAGCGATTCATTCTTGCTTTGTATGTCATATCATACCCCGGTGAGGACCTTTGTTGCCGTTCCATTTTTTCCTCGGACTTGAATTCCATGCATGGTTGGTTGTGGTCGATAAGTGGTTTTGTTGAGACTTGCAGTTATCCATGAATAAGTTGAGAACTTTTCGTTTGCCCGTTTTGGTGGTTTTGAATGTCGGTTGTGGTGGATGTCGGTATTGCTTGCAACGATTCATGTGTTGATTGTCAATGAACATCGAGAATTCCCGCTTCGTGTCCTTTGAGTTGTCCCCAAAGCATTTGTGTAGGTTGAAATATTACCGTGTGCGTGAAATGGTTTGCTTGGGGACAAGCAAACGTCTAAGTGTGGGGGAGTGATTCGGGCCTAATTGCACATATTTTGCCCCCGTTTGCTTAGATGTTTGTGCCAAATTCGCTGATTAGAGTTTTACGCGAGGTTCTTCGTGTTTGAGTGCTTTTCAGGATTTAACAGGTGGAACCAGCCTCGGAGTCGAAGGATTGGCGAAAAGGATCGAAAACTGGGAGAAGAGGTGAAAAAACGCAAGTTCACAGCTAAAGGCAGGAGTTCACGGTCGTGCAAGACCGTGAAGAAGTGGAGTTGACCATGAAGCGCAAAGTGTCCGAGCCAACTTGAAGGTTACTGATGCAAGGCGAGCTCACGGTCACTAAGACCGTGAACACAAGCAGTTGCCCGTGAACTGCCGTGATCGATGCGGAGCGTTTTGGCGCAAGGCGTGAGTTTACGGACACGTTTGATGGTTCACGGCCGTGAACTCAGCCCTTCTCGTGTTTAAAAGCTGAGCTGCAAGGAAAGAGAAGGGGGGGGGGCGAATTTTGTCAGAGAAACACTTATTCTGCATTTTAGTGAGAGAAACAGAACCAAGAGAGAAGAAGAGGTTATGGCTTGGCTTTAAAGGAGGTTTTGAGAAGATTTCCCCAAGGAAATCCCAGCTCAAGGTTGAAGAAGAGAGGAGGCATCCCCAAAAGATGGTTTCCACCTTTTTCTCCTTTGTTCTTCCCACTTCTTCCATGGAGTAGTCCTCCTCCCACTTGGGTGTAGTGAAACCCTAAACCCTACCATGTAGTTTTCTTGTATGTAGTTTGAATGATTGATATTGGGCATTGTTCTATTTAATGTTTGAGGTATTTTTCACCATGATTTTGCATGCTTGTGCTTAGCAACTTAGTGGTTGTGCATATTTTGTGCTTAGCATCCTAGGGTTTGTGCATAATTATGCTTAGCAACCCTAAGTTTGTGCATTTAGGTGTTAGTAATCTAATTTGCCAACTTAGCCTAGTTTAGAGAGGAAAATCCCCCTTTTGAAGGGAGACTTAATCGAGTTGGTTTTCCTTCCGCTTTCCAAGCCACCTAAACTAGGTTGATTTAGGGCAAACCTCAATATTTAATTGAACAAGTCGATTAATCGTGGTTAAACCGTCCGACCTTCGAGTTGAGTGAGGAAGTAAGCCGATTACCGATTGTCTAAACCGAGAGGGTCGAGTGACACGACCTTTCATCCTCACCTCGGTTTAGAAATCAAGACTCTAGTTCACGATTAGCATGCCCAAGGCACTCGTTCCAACCCACTTAGCATGGTAGCGGTTTAGGGGGAAGCGAAACCCATGTGACTTTCCCACAAAAGAGTTTTCAAACCAAATTACTTTTGCTTTCTTTCATTTCAATTGGCAAACCTTTAAACCAAAGTTTTATCGCTAGATAATGATTTCAACAACCGAAGTAGGGGTAGACGGACCGGCCCGGGTCAATATATAGATACTTGCCATATACTACACCTGATTAGAGTTTAAAAACTTGGGCTCTAATTGGGGTTTAATTGTAGTGGTTTTGAGCGAGTCAGGGAGCAAGGCGAGTGCAGGGTTTGAGGGATAGAGCGAAAGTGTTCTCAAGCCAGAAAGATTCAGAGAGGGGGAGCTAGCGTCTGGGAGGGCTCTAGGTTCTGTAACGGCAACTATGTTGATTTGTCTTGCAGGTCAAAGATTTCAGGGCCGAGCGGTTGGGGAAGTGTCGGCTTGATTCCACGGGAGGCGAGTGTCTTTTGAGAGGGAATCGTCTATCATCTCCTTCAGCACCTACAAATCATAGTCGCATTTCTCCAGTGCTCCCAGCAGCTTCCACCGTTGCTCCGCCGCCACCACGTCGCCCGTCCTCTCTCCCTTGCATTTATGGAAGATTAATTTATATGTTTATTTTTTAATGGTTGTAAAATGAGGTGGAAATTGTAAAAGGTTAAATTTTATATAATTTTTATTTTTGAATTGCCACATCACTTATTTAACGGTCAACTATCAAAGTTGACTGCTACATCAACTAAATTTAACGGAGAGTGACCAAACTTGAACTATTGAATTAATCTTAGTGACCAGGAATGAAATTAAATATTTGTAGTGACCAAACATGAACTCTTTTTGTAAACTCAGTCACCAAACTTGCAATTAACCCCAAAATTTAGTTGAAGGACAATCTTAATCCCTCAACAAATATAATTAAACCTCTATTGTGGTACTGGCCATACTAATTCATATGAACACATTAATGCATCCATGAACATTCAAAGCCTACTTCATGATATTTTTTTCTTTATTGTGGTTAGTTCATATTAAATCACGTAACTCTAAATGATACACATAACTAACTCCTCCATAGGATAAAAAGAAGTAAGATCTTATGTATCTATATTATGTAATCAGTTTGAATAGCGCATGAACAATATAAGAGGGTTTTAAGAAAGATGAAATTGAACAATCAATTTAAAGAAGATATCCGACATAACATATTATAACATGAATGTCAATCTATAATGATTAGTAAAGAATTTCAAGGAAAAAGAGATTAAATAATCAATTACTGTATTCTAAGGCATTCAAAAAAATAAAAATCATTTATCATGCAATAAAAAAATCCTAATCACATTAAATTAAGAGTGCATTGGTTGAGATTAATGCTTACTACTCAACAATTAAGGAAAGTTGTAGTTTCATTTTCAAATATTCATTTCTAATGTTTTCTTTGTTTGTCATGTTTGTTTTTTTTTTTTTTGAAATTTACAGTATCAGTGTTATTATATTGTCCTTGATCGTTAAAACTTCTGAAAGAGGAAATGAGATTTGTTGCATCAAACATGTATAAATTAATATTAATTTAATAATTTTATATCATTTCTGCATATTGAATACCGCAATTCGATATCAATATTGCAACCATTGATATTTGGGTTGCAATAAGATTATATTTCATTATAAGTCAGAAAAAATTATAAATTGCTTATTGAAATTCAATTAAAATAATAATAATAAAACAAAATCAAAAGTATCAAGCACCATAAGAATACTTACAAGAGACATAGTGGGATAGCTAACCGTGATGAAGAAGTCATATGCTTTTAAAATTTCAAGTTCGTGCATGTTTTATATTCAAAAGGTTACAACCAACTTATTTAGTGTAATTAGTTATGGTTCTTGTCTTTGTCTGAAAAGACCATGGTTCAAATTTTGTTGTTGATATATTTTCTATTTGAAATAAATAAATAGTTGTGAAGACTAAAATAAAATGTCTTTGCTACTTTCACTCTCATTACAAAAAAATTGAAATACAGAAAAGTACGCAAAACTCTACCATATTTTATAGTAGAGAGCATGATTAAATCTTTGATTTTTATGCAACCTGTTCTTCATGTTCACTCCTATACCGGGGAAAACAAATCTTAAAATGTAATGTAAGAACCGAAATTGAAATGACTACGTTGCCTCCAATATAATTTCATCCGACACAAATTCAATATGGTTCAATCTAAGGGAATAGTTGCTCATTTTAGAGTTGTCTTCAAAGAGGGGGAAAAAGCAGTGTTATCAAGCCAACCAGCTGGATTAGGTCCGATCAGAACCAGTGCTAAAAATAGCTCCAGAAAGCTATTTTGCCTCCAAAACGGTAGCCAGTCAAAATTGCAAAAACTGGTAGAAAACCATTTTGCTTCCAATTCTGTAGCCGGTCAAAATTGCAAAAACTGGTGGTCTAACAGAAGTGACCAGTTTTCGGCTCTTAGACGGAATGTTGCGTTTTGGCTCTCCCTATTCAGGGTCATATAATATACTAATTGTTGAATTACTATATGGTACCTGTCATATTACATTCAGATTATCAAAATTTTAAATCATTACCATATATATGCATATATTATATTTTTATAATATGAATAAAATAGCTCAATCTGATTGGACTCTATTCCTACTATTGAACTTTAAACCATTTGAAGTCATCAATCCAATAGCTTAAATCAATTTGAAAAGGACGTAAAAGAAATAAGAACGGTACAACGTACAAATAAATAGTAACATAGCAGGAGGAAGTTAACCAAAACAAAAAAAAAAATACCAAGTCAAAAACAGAAAACCTTAAACCCCACGCCTCGTCTCCCGCACTAACTCCACTCCTCCACTTCTCCCGCTCACTCCCTCCTCTCTATAAATATACACACGCCATACAAAAATTCTAAACCAAGAGAGCATTTGCAGTTATCATTCCTCTCAAAAAACCACTGCCTTCTTCCGCCTGTGCTAATACTCAGTCCCAACAATGGAGATGTCGAAGAAGGCGCTGGTGCTACTCACTCTCATCTGCTGCGTCGTCGTCGCGGCCAGCTCCGCCGAGTTGTTCGTCGGCGGGAAGGAAGGGTGGACGGTTCCCAAGTCCAAAGACGAACAGCACCACTTCTTCAACGACTGGGCTTCCACCAACCGCTTCCGCGTCAATGACACCCTCCGTAAATAACTTAGCCTTCTCCAACCGCTCTTTCCTCATTCTTCTCTTTCAGCTTTACTCTAAACTCTGTTCTTGTGTGTGTTTTGGAGGAAAGGCTTCAAGTACAAGAAGGACTCGGTGATGGTGGTGAAGGAAGAGGAAGAGTACAACAAGTGCAGATCATCACACCCTCTCTTCTTCTCCAACAACGGCGATACTTCTTTTCGCCTCGACCGCCCCGGTCTGTTCTACTTCATCAGTGGAGTCACCGGACACTGTGACCATGGCCTGAAGATGATCATCAAAGTCCTCGACGTTGAAGACGACTCCACGCCCCTTCCAACTCCACCACCTTCCGATGATCATCCCAATCACAAGTCCTCTGCCGCTGCTTCACCATACTCTGCCACCGTCGCTGCTGCTGCTGCCCTGCCTCTGCTCGCCCTTTCACTCTTCCTTTAGCAACAATGTTTAGATAGCTTGGGTTGAAATTGTAGTTTGTGTAGCTTGTTATTCTGTTTCAGTTTCGATTTAGAGCAAGGGACTAGGAGAAACAATGGCTTTTGTAATTTGAGTAGCTACTTTCGTTATACTCTGTTTTCTTCTTCGTGTCATATATTCATCGATTTCAATGGTTTACCACAAGGAAACAGAGGAAGAGATTTGAATTAATGGATGCTCAAACACTGTCAATTAACAATTACCAAGCTTTCGCAGCTCTCATAGTGTCATAAGTTACATAAACCTTCTGATGTGGAGGGGAAAAGAGTATCTCAGCTGGAAGGAAAGATGGGAAATGTGCTAGAACTTTGAAATATCAAAATCTGCTGCAAAACTTTTTAAGTGTGTAGGAAGAAGCTTCTTGGCTCTCCGAGCACCTAGTATCTCATGAATTTCCGCTTATCTTCGTTACCATTATCGCTTGATCGTCCATAAGGATTGTTGTCGCTGAAGCTACCTTTCTTCTTGCTGCTGTTGGTCTTTCTAAACTTGGAGGCACTGCTGTCGATGTTCAAGTTCACCTTTGGTGGCCCAGAGAAGCAAAATGAAGCTGCAACCGCCTGCCCAGAAAATATAATAAGACATAAGCCAGAAATAATTGTTACCGTGAAACATGTCACTCGCTCGCTCGCTCGCTCACTCTTAATGGTGTTTCCATACCACTGAGAATGCAACTATGTAAATTGAAAGATACCTGTAAGTCAAGGCGATGGACATTGAATATATCTTTCATGGAGTGAGAGTTGTATGCCAAGATGTAAGACCTGTAAGCTTCTTTCGCCGACTTGTTCAAGTAATAGTTGTTGGCCACCAATTTCTCCTGCAACAACCCACAAGCCGAGTCAGTAGGAATTCTTTCCAAGAGTTTGCATCTTTTCATCAAATTTAGGGAATGATAGTAGACTCCAGCCTGGATGAAAATGACTTACCAGGTGAGTCTGAACATTTGCCAGCTTCTTTTCATCGAATTCATACTCTTTCACAGGGACTTTTGCTGCCTGAAAGGGAATAGTGACGAGGGTAGCTAGAGCAAGAGCAAGTAATATACGCAGTAAAAATTCCAATCTAAGGCCATCATACCTTCAGATACCGCAGAAACTGAAGTTCTTCTGGAATCAGGAACATCAAGGCATTTCCTTTTGCACCTTCTCCACGTGCTGTTCGGCCTACCCTGTGTATGTATTCCTAAAGACCAGAAATTCAGTGTAAATGTTAGTACATGTGATCGAAGAACAGCTCCATTATTAACCAATTTGAAGTGTAGAATGCAACGAGGATTAACAGGCACCTTGGGCTCATCAGGAGGATCATACTGCACAATCCAATCCTGCACAGCAAATAGGAGGAAAATCAGTTAGGTGAGCTAGCCAAAAGGAAAATTAATTATCAGTTGTATCTAAAAAGAAAAACAAAGAAAAAAACACATACCACAGCAGGTATATCAAGTCCACGAGCAGCAACATCAGTGCATAGCAAGATCCCTTTCTCAGCTTTGCAGAAATCAAAGAAGGTCGAGGTTCGCTTCTGTTGCTTTTGTTTTCCATGGATATCGAAGCATTCTATTTGAATGTATGTAAGAAGTTCCGAATGAAACTTGACAGAATTGCATGACGAGAAAAAAACCATCACTTTCTTTGATAAGTTCCTCTTTAAGAAGGAGTAAAGAAGAAGAAATCTCTTGGAACTTGGAACTACAGTGTAGCCTTGCTGAAGACCTTCATTGGTAACCTACAATATTCCACGATTTGATAAGGTCAGAGCCATGTTCATATATTTTCTGCTTGTCCAATGAATCAAACCAAACATCATACCTTGTGTCTCCCATCATCAACATCAATATAAACAGGAGTCGTCTGAAACGACAACCGAGCTAGGTCCTCCACCTAAGCAAAATCAGCAGAAGTTAGGCAGTTAGCAAAAACTGAATGCTTGCTCTTGCCTACAGAATTCATGTTAAAAAAAGGGACAAGTACTGGCATAGAATCATGTATAATGATAATGGAAATAAAAATCATTCCAAGGAAGCAGCTGCAAGAAACAGACCTTTTTTGTTTGGGTAGCTGAAAATAAGGCAGTCTGCCTAGTCTGCAGATGGCACAACAATTTGTCAGAGAACTAGAATACAGCACTGCAAGGTACAAAATGAACAAAACTCATGCATATGTATGGTTTTGTTTATTCTAAAATTAAAAATCTGGACAATCTGATTTTAATAGGACCAGTCGGCACATCACAAATCAATTGAAGACTGCTAACAGCATGCAAGAAACAGCAGATGCCAATGCGCTAGTTCTCTTTGGAATTCTATATAATCAATTGACGTGTATAACTTCACCTCAAAAATTCTATTATAGTATTATCAACCTTTCAGAGAGAAATCAAGATATGGATTACTAACCACAAGAAAAGTTATAATATCAACAACCAATCACTCTCTACTTCTAAAATTAACTAATTGTATACATTTGATAAAATGATTGTAGAAGATTGGGATACCTTTGGTAAAAGCTTGAGAATTTGTTGCATTTCTTCCTCAAAATTGGCCTCCAATATCCTGTCTGCCTCGTCAATCGTCAGGCACTACAAAGTTTTCCTCAAGAATCAGCAAAAAAAACTTTCCATCCTTAAGGAGAAGCAGCACAAGAATAGCACAAAACATGCTTGAATAGATATGACACAAAAGTATAGCTATGAAGCCCAAACTAATGCTTCCAGAGAATGATTCGAACCACAAGAATATAAACAAATGAAAGAGGGTCCACAAGTTACCTTCAAGTTCTTATAAATGAATCCTTTGGTATTTTGAAGATGATCCAGAAGCCGACCAGGAGTTGCAACCAACAAGTTTACCCCTTTAACAAGTCGCTCGGCTTCTCCTTTCCTTGCTGCCCCACCGATAACCAACCCAAGGGTCTGTGAATGATACTTGAGAAGGTCTTCTGCCACTTTATGCGTCTGAATAATGTTGCACCATGATATATTAGATCAAGCCTAAGACTAAAATGTCTAGGGAGAAAAGGAATTAAAAGGTTCGCATCTCCATTTGGCACTAGATCAGGCCCTTCGGGTCACTAAGTTACAAACAAATACCATTAGCAAATTAGCAGAGTCTCAAATTACATACAAGGCTAACTGGTATGGTAAAGAAGCAAACTACAGTTATCTGTTCAATTTCATCTGATTGATTATACAGTACTATTTCATCATTCAGTTCAAGAGGAAAGAAATGATGATTTTAAGTGAACATCTACACTACGGGCAGGATCATTTACCTGAATGGCAAGCTCTCTAGTAGGGCAAATAACAACCACACCAGTACCATTACGAGGAGCAAAACGAACATTGTATAGTAACTCCACAGCAGGTATCAGAAAGGCAAGGGTTTTCCCAGAACCTGTCCTTGCTGCACCTAAAACATCCTTGCCAATTAGCAGAGGTGGAACTGCCCTTGATTGAATCTGTTTCACGCAGTAGATTCCAAATTGTCAGAAACTTGTCTCAATACAATCAATATCTAAACACGTTAAGGACATTTCCCCAAATGCCGTGCTATTCTTGCTAACTAAACTCAGCACGCATATACTCCAGTAAGTTCAATAAACTTAAAAAATGCTTCCATTCGCCGCCAACTTAAAACTATTCGAGAATACAACAGCTGAGCTTCAACCAATGTAACACCATACTATGCAACACCACAGAAGCTTAAACAAAATGGATTTGACACTACCAAAAATGAATATGCATCATGAATCGTTCCGGTGGGTGCTGAAATGTGCACTAAAAGTTCCAATCAGAAGAGACTGTACCTGAGTCAAATACTGGAATCCCATCTCCTGAATCGCCTTCCTCGTAGGCTCAGATAATCCCAAAGAATCAAAAGAGTCAGTGCTCATAATTCCGCCGCCACTCTTCACTTTCTTCTCCTTTGTCTTCCCCTCGGCCTCCCCATCTTTCCCATTGCTCTGTTCCTCCTCCTCCTTTTCTCCATCACCCTCATCTTCATTCTCATCTACCATCTGCTGCTTCTTCTTCTTCTTCTTTCCTTTCTTCTTGTCCGTCACAACTTCCTTCTCTTCCTCATCTTCACTCTCCGCTTCATTCTGCTTCCCCTCTGGAGCTTCATCAGAATCTGCCGGAGCTTTCTTTCCTCTGCTGCGCTTTCGCTTCTTCTTCTGCTGCAGCTCGTCTTCCGGCGACTCGTGCGGCTGCTTGTTCTCGGCTAGAACGGCCATGGCGCCACCTGAGAATGAAGTTTCTGGAAAAGAAGATTGCTAGGGTTTGCGGCTTCTCTTTGCAATTCCGCTCGTTCTCTTAAACCCTGGTCCGGGGTCCACCGTCCTTGTCATCAAATGATGTCTCCAGTCATTACAAATTTGGTCACTAAATTTGATTGCGTAACTATATGATCACTAAACTTCTGTAGCTACTCCACATTGGTCACCCTTTTCATGGGTACTGTCTGATTGGATGGGGCTTAATGAAACAGGCTTTTGATTGCGGGCCTCGTGGGCTGAAAAGCCTCTGCCTAATTAGACCAATCTCTTAGGCTCATCCGAATCTAACTTGTTTTGGACTTCGCCGGACCTCTCATTTTCTTTTTACCATAGTCATACAATAAGAAAATCATAAATTACCGAAAAAAAAATAATAATAATAATAAGAAAATCATATCATAATATCGTACAAGTGTAGTACCCAAACATGGTAGTCGATTAATAATGCATGTTCAAATTTAGTACGTTTTTAGTAATTAAATCTTGTTTACATGTGCCATGTACATGAGGTTTGAAATTCAACCTTTACGATTCCCAAACTAATCCACCAACATAAACAAGTTTGTAGTCTAATAATATCATAGCAGTAGAATGACTCGGTGGTCGAGAGTTGGAGTTTGCTTGACTTACACTTGAATATCTTATTTTCACTAGTAATTCAATTGGATATTGAATAATTTAGATATTACTCAGTCTGAATCGTGATGGGGCGGGCATTATCCGACTCGCAGTAGCATGGAATGGGGCATGGATATCTACTTTTGATCTGCTCCGCCCCTTTTTTGCTCATTCTATCTCAATTTCTTACAATATCTATTCATATTTCTCCTATTTTGACTTCGGTTCAACTAAATAGACTTGATCTTTCAACTAGTTAGACTCAATTACTCATTCTATTATCACTATTTTTCATTTATAAAGTTTTTCCCCTTCGTTTTATTGCAAAAAGGAAAATTTTGCGTGTATTTTTGTAAAAATAATATGTAAGAGTGGCTCAATCCACCCCGCCCCGTACCCGTGCGGGTACTACTCGCCCCGACCCTCAGTAGTCTGGGATGGGACATGGGTGTTGAGTTACTTGCCCCACCCCATTGCCATCACTAATGACAAAAACCAATTGATCTCAATAACTCAAGTTGTTAGTAGAGGTTCAATTATATATCTTATAACATTTACTAACATGTCCCTCAACAAAAGCCAACTCATACAAGTTTGATGTTTGCACAGGTCCAAATACCATGGGCTCAACAAATGAGGATCGTCAAGATTCAAACATTAGTCCTCTCAGTCATCAAAGACTCTGATATCCTGTCATAAGCTAATTGGTCCCAATAACTCAAACTTTGAAAAATATTCAATTATAAATCTTATACAATTGAATTTACTAATAACATAGTCTCAGAAACTCCCTTAAGATTGCCTTGTAATTTGTTTTTCTCCTTTCAAACGAGCAAGTACGCTGCACTCTTCTACATCAGAATTCAGAGCAGTTGCATCGGTCGTCTCTTTTTTTATTTCAAAATGACATGGCAATGTCAATATGTCATTTGACATTTCATGGTTGTAGGCTTGTAGCCAATTATTTCAATAATGAAATATTTCATTAGATCGAAGAGCAAATGAAATTAGAAGTGGGGTAGCAAGTGGGCCTATTTCAACAATTTGAAATTATTTAGTTGTATTGAAAATGTGAATCGGGTCCACCATATGAAATTGGAGATAAATTTCACGGGTGTAGATGAAATGGATTTTAAAGAACGAAATTGTAAAAAATGTATAAGTGATAATAGAGCCTACATATGAAATAGAAAGGCTATTTCATGATTGTTGATGGTCTCATAAACCAACGAAGGTGGCAACTGGTTTAAGTGAATGGCTGAAGAACCTCTCGATTGAGGGCAGAGCCTTTCGCATCAATCACAATGGGTATCCAAAGTTCGATCGCGCCTTCCATGCATGGAAACCTGCTAGCTGCCGCATGCCCATTAATATGATATGATTCCATATGGAACATGGCCACTGCTGCTGCTGCAGGTTGTTTGTGGTCCATAAATGAGTCCATGTTTTGGTTTGCTGGTCAGACAGGTATGCTGCTTGGAGTTATAATTAAGGTCACGGGAAACTTCGTGTTTGGTTTTATGATCTGTTGCCTCCTTTGGTTTCATTGTACACACTCCCCAAACGCAAAAATGGGGGGAAATTAAAATTGGAGATGCGGGGTATCGATCCCCGTACCTCTCGCATGCTAAGCGAGCGCTCTACCATCTGAGCTACATCCCCTTGATGATGCAATTGTTGTCTCTCTATTTTATTACTAAAAGTAATAATCTCGATTCTGAACTTTTCAAGTCGAAATGAAATTAATAAACAAAAAGGGGAATTTTATAATACTTTATGGTACAAATTGAACTTGCATATTTAATATTATGGTACAAACTGCCTTTTCGTTTATGTTACGAACTAAATCTGTGCATTTTATAGTATAAACTACAAACTGAAATTGTACTTTTAATGTTATGGTCCAAATTTAATTTATATCTCCAAACTCTAATACTTGACTCATTGAAAACTCGCTCCAACCGATCCACCAACATATTATGGATATAAGTTGCATAATAGAGCACTCAAGAGAAGTCATGTGGGTCATTGTAATCCCAAAACCCACATCAAGACCGCTTTTCTTTGTTCAAGTCGAGAAAGCTCGTCATATCAAAGTTTTAGCGAAAACCCAACTCTCTAATCTTCTCAAACAATCATCGGCATCCACACTGCAGTTCCTTGAGAATTTCTGTCGGAAATCTCTGCTATACCATTCGATTAAAGAGACATTCATGAGGATTCAATGAACACTAAACTTCTACAGCATTCTCTAAGATCTATTCTACTCGATATATTCTAATAATCTAAATGATCCATCACAATTTCCTCAGAAAATGCGATACCAATCATTAATGAACCAACGTGGCCTGCAATTAGTAAAATCAACTGGCTATAATTTGCCTACAAAATTTTTGGTCTATGGCAATGAGTTGAGTCACAAGGCACAACCATCATCATTAAGCCCAATAATTTGTTAACGGCCACTTAATATATTTCGCACCGAGTGGAGCAATTGTGGTCATGTTAAACAGTTTTCAAAGGAAAGGAATGAAGTTCTTGCTGTGAAAGTGGAACTGTGGGCTGCTCTGTGAACTCTACCCAACACCAGTACTACTGCTACTTTTGCCTTTTAAAATTGGTGCTGCTATTCTATGATAATAAGAGGAAGCCTTCACTTTTCTTCAATACTTTTCAGGAGATGATGCATCGATGATGCAGAGAAAAACCCAACTACAACCCACATCGATCTTTGTGCTTTCTATACTTCAAATTTTAAGTTTGAATGTCATTGGATCATTCGAATTACTAAAATAAATTGATTTGAGTAATGATGATAATTAAGTCTTATAAATTGTGTTAAGGTTTCATGTAAATGGCATGCCAAGAGAGGACAAGAGAGGGTAAGAAATTATCGATTGATCGAATTTAATTTTGTATTGACCTAACATACTTCTATATTTTGATAGCATCCCGTTTTGCTCGCTAGTCTTATATCAACTTGACTAACTAATTGTTTCTAGTATTAGTATACAATGTCGTTTCCCTCAACAAATAGAGATTATTGCGTTTGAACCTCATATATATCCCTTAACATAAACAAAGTTATATAACCAAAAAGTTGACCAACATGTGTGATGAATAACAGATAATGACATTCACAATGAACATGAAATTTCATGGATAAGTGAGATTAGGAATGTGGGGTATTATTATGCGATGAATAACAACTATCGACACTTGCAATCAATGACAGAACCACGTTGTCAACTTTCAAATATAGGTAAATTCATATGTGAAATTTGTAGCAAAATTGGAAATGATTAGTCTTGTGAATTGTGATGATTACGAATGCCACAAAAGCCTTGAAAATTGGAAAAAGGAAGTTTCACTCCCTCTTCAACATCTTACAGCGTGATAAGGTTAAGGTGAGGGTAGTGGCGATTTGATGGTTGGATTCCTTATCTTTCCCCCCTGTAAATGTAATATATCATGTATGTATTTTAAAAAATGCAATCCTTAATTAATAACTATTATTGCTTTTGTTTATTCTAAATATTAAAAATTGCTAGCTAGTGTCATTTGTCAATCATGGCTCTATAATTCAATGATTACTCCATTATCAAATCACATAGGAGAATCTACCAACAATATAAGGAGGTTCTGCCGAGAGAAGGGGTTAAAAGAGAAATAGAAGGCCTGACCGCATCTCACGGAAGGCTAAAGAAGTCTTTCTACATTATATATTATATTTATCACTGCCGTGGAAGGAAGTCAGAGTTACATGATTGTGTATATGGGATTGGGTTGGGCTTCCAACTTTTGATTTTGGGAGAGAATCCGGGTTCTGGCTTTGGTTTCTAGGATTGGACTATGGTTATTATGAATTATCGTTTTCGCTTCGAAACACTATTTCGGCTAAATGATCTCCTCTGCAACACATATAATTTGTGTCTCAAATACTAGAACAATGACAATAATAATTTGTGTCTCAAATATTGTGGTTCATGATTCTGACTCAAGTATAATTTCTTAAAACAGTGATCATTATATTATACTAAATTATCTATGAAAATTTATTTGAAATTGCATATAAATTCTACCATATTGTATAATAAATAGAAAACAAATTTAATCCTTGGTAAGGAGAACGGGGGCTCAATTTGGTTATATGACATATGTAGCTGATTAATGACGTTATAGCTACCTATTTTACTGTCTTGAAATTCACTTTTTTTTTGAACATATAAAAAAAATTCACTTTTATGTAGTTGGTTTCAGATATAGAGATTAAGTTTTTAGGACAAAAGAAAGTCACCTTCATAAAAAAAGGTTTCGAAAATAAAAGGGTTACGAAGAAGATGTCGTGGAGGTTTCTCTCACAATTCAAATGTGAACAAAGCAAAATCTTAATTGAGGTATGTCCAACATTTTGGTTGAATCG